TTTGTTTCAGCTTCTTCAGCTTTTAGGTGCTTTTCTGCTACTTTTTAGTCTTTTGCTCTTTTTAGCTTTAGCTAGCATTTTTTTTTATATTTTAGCTACTTTTGCTACATTAAGCTTATTGCTAGCCTTTTGCTAAATTTTGCAGCTAGGTTTTTGCTACTTTTACTAGTGTTTTGCTACTTTGAGTTTTAGCTAGTGTCCTGCTTCTTTTGGGAAATAAAAAAAGTTTTTAAAATGTATTTTAAGATAAACACAGGTGATGATAAAACTGCAGACTCTGCTGTGTTCTTAACAAAACTAATGTGTTTTTAAAGTCATTATGTGATGCTTTAAGTACTAACTCATTAATTACTCAGTAAGTACTTTTATATATTCTGATAAAACTAGTATTGGGACACCCTGAAGTGACGTGTATGTCGTTTGCAGGCAGGTATCTGTCAGCAAGAACTTCATTGGCTTGAATCGAGCTCGGCGGCCGCACAACGCCATATTTGTCAGCTTTACTGACCCGCTCGTGCCGACCGAGTGCCTGGAGGCAGCCAAGGTGAAGTGGACTCGATTCTGCCTGAAGGAGAGCGACAAGCAGAACGAGGAGAAGATGAAAACGGTATTTGCTCAGCTGTTGTCTCAGGTCACGCACAATCAACAATGTTATCTTCAGCCAAGTCAAATTGGCGAGCGGCAACATATAATGACGTTACGCAACGCCGCTGAGGTATTTTTGCCTCCGGTATCTAATCTCTGATTAAACTCTCGGTGCTCAGATGTTTGAGAGCCGGCCCATCTGGTCGCGGAACGCGCTCAAGGCCAACCTCAACATCCACCCTGAGAAGCTGAAGCTGCTGCTGCCCGTCTACGCCTACTACATGGTGAGCTCTGCTTTCTATGTCCTTCATGCCGTTTAGCTGGTCCACCTGAAACTGGAGCAAAGCTGCTGAACCACAAGTTGGTTTGTTGCATAAAATCAAAATCAAAGCAAAATCTTGAACAGGATTGGTTGATTTTATAAATTTATAAAACTGTTTATTAATAGGGTGAAGCAAAACAAATGATTTTTGTTTGTATTCCTTAAAAAAAAGTATTTAAACCTGAAAACTTCTTTGAGATCCTAAGTTATCCTCTAGGGGGCGCTGTAATATTTCCACTTCCGTAGATAACTTATCTTTGAAGTAAAAAAAAAAAAAACAGTTAAATATCATGTGGGGCGTATTTTTAGAGCTCAAAATATTGATCATGGCTTCACACGTGCAGCCTCGGTGCTGCTGCGTTCATTCTGTGCCCATCAATAGTTAAATTTCTAAATGTTTAATAAATAATCAAATTGATCCTTGTAGGTGACGGGACCCTGGAGGAGTTTGTGGGTCCGGCTGGGCTACGACCCCCGAAAGAGCACAGAGTCCAAGAAGTATCAACTTCTAGATTTCAGGGTTCGCTGTAGCTCCAAGCACGGTAAAACCCAAACTGTTTTTTTTTTTTTTTAACGTCGGCTTTAAACGCATCTTGAAGTGGCACCGCTTAATTATGACGTTTCTCTTGTTTTTAGGTTATTTACTTCCAGACATACCGGTGAAAACCAAAAGGAGCACCCTCAGCTATAATCTGCCCATTACAATGAACAAAGCAGGTGACGTTAATTAAGAAGTTAATGTGTAACTAGAGAAATCGCATTCCCTGCGCAAGTGGAGTTGTGAATGCTTATTTGTAGAAGAACTTGCTGAATGAGCTCTAAACTAACTTTCACAAAAACAGGACTTTTAAACTGAAGCCCGTTAATGATTTTTTGTGTGAATGTTTATGAAGCATTCAAATTATTTCAACAAATCATGAATCAAAACGTTCAGCTCTTTCAGGACAATCCTGCTATGACTTTTGGTATTGGTGCAACTTTAGCTGTTTGAAATATTTAGCCTTTCCTGCCACTTCTTGTCTCACAGAAAATGAATTGAGCTCATTTTACATCCTTCAAATCTTTAGAGCTGTTTACAACCTTTTACTGCTCCTTTCACATTTTGTTCTGCTTCAGCTTCTTTCAGCTTCCTTGTGCAAATTTAAACATTTTCAGCTAATTTCAGCTGTTTTTTAAGCTTTTTTGTTTTATACTCCTTTCAGCTTTTTTCTGATAACTACAACATTTTTGTGCTTCGAACTTCTTTCTGCTGATTTGAGCTTGTTGTGCTCCTTTCAGCTTATTCCTGCAAGTTTCGGCTGTTTCTATTATTTCAGCTACTACATATAGCTGTTTTATGCTAATTTAAGCTTTTCAGCTACTTACATTTTTGCTCTCGTTTCATTTTTTCAGCCTGATTCAGCTAAAATGTGCTCTCTCCACTTCCTTCTTGGAAGTTCAGTTTATTTCTGCTTTTTTTAGCTACTTTTCAGAAGTGTTTTTCAGCTGTTTTCAGCTAATTTCTACATTTTGTGCTCATTTCTGTTTCAACCTAATTGGGCAACCATTTGGTCTTTCTGCTTTCTAGGCTAATTTCAGCTTGTTCTACCTTTTCAGCTAGCTTTATAGATTTTTTTAGCTACTTTCAGCTGTTTTCAGATAAATTCAACTTTTTCATGTTATTTCTGCTACTTTCAGCCTAATCAACTTCTTTCTGCTACTTTCAGCATTTTCTGCTCTTTCAGCTACAATTTAGCTGTTTTTATGAAAATTTTAGCTTTTTCAGCTAATTCCACTTTTTTTTAGCTCATTTCAGCTCTAACATCTTCCTTCTCGTAGGTTAAGCTTCTTTCTGCCTTTTCAGCTACTTTTGAGATTTTTTTTTTTTTTTACAAATTTTAGCTTTTTTTTTTTAGCTGATTTCCAAATTTTTGTGCTGATTCCAGCTTTTTTCAGATAATGTCTCTACTTTTTTGTGCTGATTTCTGCTTCTTTCAGTCCATTTGAGCAAACGTGTTCTTTCTGCTTTCTTCCACTAATTTAAGCTTGTTCTACCTTTTCAGCTAGCTTTTTAGAAATTTTTAGCTACTTTCAGCTGTTTTCAGAAAAATTTAAGTTTTTCATGTTAATTTCTGCTACTTTAAGCCTAATGCTAATTTCAGCTCGTTTTGCTCCTTTCAGGTTTTTTCAACTAGTTTCAGCTTTTTCTGCTATTTCAGCTACTATTTTTGCAGTTATGCAAATTTTAGCTTTTTCAGCTAATTCCACTTTTTTTTTTTTTAGTTCATTTCAGCTCTTTTTCCAATTCTGGAGTGTAGCTTCTTTCTGCCTTTACAGTTATTTATTTTTTTTTTTTTACAAATTTTAGCTTTTTTTTTTTTTAGCTGATTTCCAAATTTTTGTGTTAATTTCAGCTTATGCTCCATTCAGTTTTTTTTTTTTAGCTAGTTTCAGCATTTTCTGCTCTTTCAGCTACTTCTTTGCTGTTTTTATGCAAATTTTAGCTTTTTCAGCTAATTCCACTTTTTGAAACCCATTTCAGCTCTACCAATTTCCTTCTCGTAGGTTAAGCATCTTTCTGCCTTTTCAGCTACTTTTCAGATTTTTTTTAAGTAACTTTAGCTTTTTTTTAGCTGAATTCCAAATTTTTGTTCTCAGTTCTGCTCATTTAAATCTAATTCAGCAAACGTATTCTTTCTTCTTCTAATTTAGGCTTGTGCTTCTATTTCAGCAACATTTCAGCATGTTTTTTTTAGATAATTTCACCTGTTTTTCAGCAAGTTCTTCAGCAATAAGCATTCACACTGCGTATAATCAAGAAATGCAATTTCTCTAGTATTTTACCACCATACATTTACAGCAACAACGGTGAAACAAACAACTTAAGTAACATTTCTTGGAGAAGTGCATGTCGCCTGCTTCCTGGATGATGACGCTATCTAAGCCCTTCATGGTTGTGTTTGGGATGACTTCCAGTCACTACCATGCCAAATTTAAGCTCATTATTTGAACAACTGACATCCTGAATAACTAAACCAGATGCAGTTTTCATGATTTTACTCCTGATGTACCGTATTTTTCAGAGTATAAGGCGCGTTACATGAAACAAGTTATTTTTGAGCGCCGTGTACATAAAGTCAGTTGGAGCACAACCAGAATTAATACATGAGGCTTACTGTCTGGTTTTTAAAGAAAAGTTAAGGATTTTAAGTTCGCCTTATGAACCCAGAAAAATACGGTAACGTAGATCACAGGTCTCGAGTCCATAAGTCCAGATGTGTTCACTGCCCAGCTGTTCTGAAGCGTTTGCATTCGTCAGGTCCACAGGCAGCTTCCATGATGGATATCCCCTCGCAAGATGGACCGAGCACCAGCCGGGATTCAGCTCCTGTCTCATACCAGCTGAAGGTCGGTGAAGCTCGTCCGTTTCTTTCTCTGTTTCTTCTACAACTTGAACTTTTAAATACCCAAAGAAAATCGTTGATCTCTTTTGTTCTGTTCTCTATAAAGTCTCGGATGTTTATGGGAGAAGTAGCTCCTCAGCTGTGTTTCACCTCCACAGGAGTCCAACTACATTTTCAGAGAAGGGCTGCTGCCGCCTCACAGACAGATGTTCTACCAGCTTTGTGATCTGGAAGTGGACAGGTTCGGCACAGACGTGTTTTTCTTTTCTTTTTTTTAGAATATGAGCTGCATGCCGCTGTTCACAGCCGACAGCTTTGTGCCAATTTAAGCTGCTTTTTGTCCGTTCAGCGTCAAAGAGTTGATCGAGCTGAACAGCGGGAAGGAGCAGGGCTGTGACGAGCGTGACGGCTGGTGTGTCGTCGGCACCACGGACAAGCTGAGGGACATCATCTCAACCATGATCAAGAAGGTTGTGAGAGCCAAGAAGCCAGGTGTGGTCAAACGGAGGGCGTTGCTCTTATCCTGTGTGCGACGCATCAACTGCTACATTTATAAGGAGCGTTGCTGTCACAAACACTAAGATCAAAACAGTTTGGGTAGATTTCCTAATTCTCTGCAACTCTTCATGATTTCATTTGATTCTAGTGGTGAAGTTTTGTAGACAACATCATTTTAGAACGTTTATCTTCACCCATCACTTTTCCCCCTCTATATTTTCCATCAAACTGCTGCCTTAAAATGATGGTTTAATCTTTTATAGGGCGGTGTTGTGAAAAGGCCATGAACAATCATCATCTTACCTGTTGTGGATGGCTGTTTCGGCAGGCTCGGTTTGGAGAAATAGTTTAATTCTGACCGGATGGACACGTTCGCACCTAGTCCAAGCAGGCTCGAGACCAAAGTGGAATGCTGCCGATTTAAAACGTGGACTTGTAAGATTTTTTTTTTTTAAATGGCGCTGAATGTAAACGCTTTAATTTACGTCACTGTCAGTTTTAAATTACAGTTACAGTAGTCTTTCGATTATCGCGGGGGTTACGTTCCACACACCACCGCGACAAGTGAAAAACCGCAAAGTAGGAACGCTACATTTATTTTAGTATTTATATATTTGAAGACTTTGGAAACCCTTCCCACACTCTTGCAACGTTCTAATCTCTTAAACCTACATAATTTTAACAATATACGTATATGTACTGTACAGTACTGCAAAGTTTTACTCTCCATTTCTGCAGAACGGCAGCTCGGTTCCGGTCGGGCTCGGTACTGGTTCTGCAGACCCACCCTGCAGCTCCGAAGCCCACCGCCCCGTCCAGGTTGATGTGCACGTGGATAATTGAGCTTCAGGATTATTTGCAACTTTCCTGCCAGTTCTGTGAGCTTCATGGATCGAGCGTTACTTCTGACTTTGTGTTGCTAAACTTTCCCTCCATTTGGGCAGAAAGCAGCAGCCGGCAGCACTGTTGGCTTCTGGGTAGTGTAGTTCTTTTGACTGGCGTAAAGGCTTGTCCTAAGTACCGTCTCAATCACGTGAGTAATATTAAAGTCGACAGTCATGTGTCGTGTTCAGTCTTGCGTTGAAAAACTGCGCAAGTTGAGCCGTGAAGTAGCGAGGGAAGTAGCAGGGTTATTCAACTGGCGGCCCACGGGCCAGTTCCAGCACACGGGTGACTTCAGTCCGGCCCACTTCATTCTGAGTTTGGGTTTTGGGTTCTGTTTATTGCATTTATAATTCAATGCAATAAAATAAACAAATTTAAAAGGTAACGTATCATTGTAAAACTTGGTTTATTTACATAATGACTTTAATCGCAGATTGTCCGGCCCCCGAGCTGCTGCCTTTCAGAAACTGTGGCCCCCTGAGCAGTTTTGTTGAAGAGCCCAGGACTACTGTATATACATTAAACAATGGGACTCAACAGAATTCAATTGTTTATTCGCCTGGACTTAAATCCTATAGACGACCACTAGAGGGCGCCTGTTTTTATTTGTTTGTTTGTTTTTCAACTACAATGTTTTGCTTCTGTGTTGATTTATTGGTGAAGTGAAGCGCTCCCTGCAGGAACGTAATAATCCTGCCAGAATAACCGTGCAACGTGTAAATGAAATGGCGTTGGCACGAACCACTAAGGAATGTTCCGGAGCTGTTTGAAGATGACAGCAAATCTCCGAGCACTCGGACTAACGGTTAGCTCGTCGAGCCGACCACATTTAAACTCCTTTTCTCCAAAATGAGTTCATTCAAAGCTCTATCTGCAACAAGTAAGACACTGATTGTTCATAACCTTTCCACAGAACGCTACTCTAAAAGATCTGAACTACCCCTTTATGCATCAGAAATGTTTTGTTTAGCAAACTTTTCAAAATTAAAATTCATTTGAGGCGTTAAAGCTGTTTTTAATGGTTGGATTGGGCTTTTTTTTCTTTAAAATAAGTTTCTCTCTTCTTCAGCCTTTGTTCGAGCCTCAAAAAAAAGAAGACGAATAGGTCTAATTTCGAGCTACCCAGAGAGAGACGAGGAGGAAGAGGAGGAGCTTGAGCACAAAGGTGATGATGATGATGAAGAGGAGGAGGAAGATGAATTTCAACCGTCTGAGGGAAGCGAAAACGAGATGGAGACTGAAATCCTGGACTATATGTGACAGAACAACTGCTCGTTTTGACTGTAAATACGTCGTCTTGTGTGCTTTTGTAAAATTTGATTCATTTAGTTAAAACTTAAATAAAGAAACGTTAGTAAATCTTGTGTAAGAACTTTTAGATCTATATACGTCCTTAAAACTAATAAAGAAAATCATGTTTTTACCAAATAAAACAATGTTCCGGATCATAACTGAAAACAACAAAAACAAACACTTCATATTTGTATTATATTGTCTTTATTTTATATTAAAAAACACACAAATGGCATTAAAAAAAACCACAAAGCATTAGCCAAAGTAGAAATTAGCTTGAGGCAATACTGTGAGGCGTGAAATACGGAGAATAATCATGAAATTAATAGAAAACAATTTAAATATATAGATCAACCTATGTTTTAGTGATGCCTTATAATGTAAGATTGCTGTTTTGTTGTGCGTGATGAACATGTTTGGACTTGAAGTGACCGGGATTAACTTTCCAAACTGATCGGAGTTCTGAGATTTTGAGTCGCTTTGAGCAGCTGTGCAAACTCTGCCTTCCTGATAGTCGACGGCACAAACGGGAACACACAAAAAAAGACTTTTTAAAGGCTTTGATGAGAAATTAGGGTCTTTTAGGGTAAATTTATGCTTCATTCAAGTTTGAGTTTTTTATTTAAATGAGTAAATATCCTGTTATTCTAAAGATAAAAAAGTAACTGATGTTAAAGGGATTGTTCTTTAACACCTAAATCAGAGGGAAAGACTAAACAGAACAAAGAATTTTGTTTTTTGTACATATTTTTTTTGTATTTAACTGAAAACTTGGCGTCTTGGATTTAAAGGCACACCAGATGTAACCAAACTTACCAATCTGTCCTCATATAAGTTTAGTTTCCACAAGTGTATCGCGTGGAGTTTGACTTTTGGATAACCCAACCTGCAGCTCTAAATGCTCAGAAAAAAGTGCATAATTGTATCTTCAGGGATACGAAGACTTGTCCCTGAGTAACTCCCTTCTTGTTCCTTCAACAGTGAATACTCATCGATATCCTTGCTTTTGTACATTAGAGATCATTGCATCCTTACACCTTAGAAAAATAGACCCTTAAAATTGTATTTAAAAGTACTTCTTGACCTGTTTTACCAAAAAGTCGTGGTTCCCAAACATCTGACATGGTCTCATCCGATCCAACGTCGTTTATGTTTTCATGATGTACTGCAGTATTCCTGAATGAGATTTGAATCCATAATCTTCCAGTTCGAAAGCAAGCATCACCACAGCTGAGCTGACCTGCAAATTGTTTCTAGATTACCGTAATTATGGACTTTAGGGTAAAACAAACATCATTAGAAACCTTGAAGTACATATTGTATTATTTACCAGCAAATCCACATGGACTTTTGAGATTGTACTCGACATTTAAATGATAAGTATATGTACACCTGAAAAACGTAAATGTACGTTTCAGGTCTTCATAAGGGTACACATTAAGGTTAATCATCATTAGAGGGTACAAAAGTTCAAATTGTACCCTGGGGGACAAACACTGTTTGTCCCCCAGGGTACAAAGACTGTTTTGCACGCACAGACTGGCTGGTCTTCAGGGAAGTCACTGTAAATGAGAGAGAACTGGATCTGGAGGAATACACATCTGCTGTCCTCAGATACATCAGCAAATGGGTTGTAGCTGTCACTACCACCAGGACTGTGTGCTGCCAGAACCAGAAACCATGGTTGAACGCAGAGGTCCATATCGTGCTGAAAGCCAGGGATGCTGTCTTCAGGTCTGGTGACTCACAGGAACTGGGGAGGACAAGGAAAGAGCTGACAGCTGGTATTTAGAGGGACAAAGCCACATACACATGGAAGATCCAAGAACATTTCTCTTCACAGGACCCACAGAGCATGTGGAGGGACATTAAGTGCATCACAGACTATAAAAGTAGAGGTGCACAATGCCTTAGGGACCCATCACTGCCTGATGCTCTTAACAGGTTCTATGCCCACTTTGCAGACTCATCTAGCTGACCCAGCACCAGACTCACCTCACCATCTGAAGAGGATCTTCAGCGTGACCTCAGCAGAAGTAAGGGGGGACCTTCAGGAGGATTAATCCTCACAAAGCCATTGGCCCAGACAACATCCTGCATCCTGGAGATAATGTGCCGATCAGCTCTGTGAGGTGCTGACCGATATCGTTAACTCCTCCCTCATCCTGACAACTGTTCCCACCTGCCTGAAGACTGCCACCATCATTCCAGTTCCTAAGAGCTCTGCTCTGCTCTTAGTGACTGGACTGAATGACTACCAGCCAGTAGCCCTCACACCGATAGTCGCTAAATGCTTTGAAAGACTGGTCATAGCCCACATCAAAGCTACCATCGATCTCAGCAAGGACCCGCACGAGTATGCATATCACGAGAATCGATTAACAGAGCATGCTATCTCCTCTGTGGTCCACACTGCTCTCACCCACCTGGAGCAGAAGGACTCCTATGTCCATTTGCTCTTTAAGGACTTCACATCTGCCTTCAACACCATGATCCCGCAAATCCTGATGGACAAACTACTCAAACTAGGACTAAGCCCCTGCCTATGCAACTGGGTCCTGGATTTCTTAATCGACAGACCACAGTCTGTGAAGATCCACAACTTCTCCACCATAACCCTCAGCACTGGCTCCCCTCAGGGCTGTGTGTTGAGTCCCCTCCTGTTCACTTTGCTCACATATGACTGTGCACCTACCCATCCAGGCTGTCACATTGTAAAGTTTGCAGACGATACAGTGGTGGTTGGATGCATCACAAACAACAAGTCCAGCTTCAGGCAGGAGGTGGAACAACTGGAGAGCTGGTGCTGGAAGAACAACCTCCACATCCACAGTGAAGAAGACAAAGGAGATGGTTCTGGATTTCAGAAGGAGCAAACACAACCAAACATAGGAGGATTTGCAGTAGAAGTGGTCGCCAGTTACAATTCCTTGGGTGTGCATGTGAATGACAACCTCAGCTGGGGCAACAACACTACCAGTCTGATCAAGAAAGCTCATCAGCAACTCTACTTCCACTGGGAAGCTCAGTCCTCACCTCCTTCTACAGGTGTGCAGTGGAGAGCATCCTGTGCTCCAGAATCAATGTGTGGCATGGAGGCTGCACAGCTGCAGATAGAAAAGCTTTGCAGAGAGTGGTGAAGGCTGCACAGAAGATGTTGGAGTCAGACTCCCCACCATCACAGACATCTACACCTCCAGATGCAGGAAGAGGGCCACCTGCATCATGAAGGACCCCACTCACCCAGCACACACACTTTTTGCCCCGCTCCCCTCAGGCGAGGTTGCAGAGCATTAAGTGTAGAACCACTAGACTGAGGAACATCGTCTACCCTCAAGCTGTTAGACTCATGAATCTCTAACCAGAATAACCACTGTAATGCCAGTTTAATTGTTGATATGTCACGCAATCTGTGCTGCTGATTATCCACGCTGCTGATTTCTTGCCTTTAAGCTGCTGTATTCATACCCATCTGCTCACAACAGACTCATGTTTAGGCAGCTGTTTAATAACCAGTATTATTTATTATAATGATAATAAAGAACCTTGAACCTTGAACCTTGAACAAGTGCAATAATAATGTTGTCTAATCAGCATCTTGATATACCACACCTGTGAGGTGGATAGATTATCTCTGCAAAGAAGAAGTGCTCACTAACACAATTACACTAATCTGTGAACAATATTTGAGAGATAAAGGATTTTTGTGTGCATAGAAAAAGTTTTCGATCTTTGATTTCAGCTCATGAAAAATGGGAGCAAAAACAGAAGTGTTGAAATGATATTTTTATTCATTATATGTACATCTTCTGCACATCAATTTAAACTGTGTGGGGCCACATGTGGGTCTTTGTAGCTTTAATCAAATAAAATATGAAAAAATATCATATTTACGTTTATATCCACAACAGAAAATGCTACTTTTAGTAGATTTTATGTAAAATTTCATGCTAATACATGACCAATATCAGACAGATTAATACTGATAATTCACAGTGACCAAAAACATTTAGATTAATTTGAAAGAGTTAATTAGTCGATATATCACTGGATTTTGACAGTCTGCAAAAAAATGCTTTTGCAAAAGAGGTTTCCAAAATGTTTCAAAATGGTTTGGAAACATCAAAAGTTGCTGCAGGCATCTCAAACCCTTCTCTGTTTAGTTTTCATTAGTGAAAAACCAAAGATACCAAATTATGACATTTGGAAACAAAAAAAGAAAATTAATCATCAAACTGAGACAGAATCGGGACTTTTTGTGACTAATTGGTGACAAAAACAAACATTGCACATCATTTATTGGAAGGTTGTGCAACTTTTGCAGTTTATTTACAGCTACTTTTGCACGCAGATGTGTTCAAAGTACCAATTCAATGAGATTCTATCTGTGTATTTTTTACACCTTTATTCCTCAAACTAGACACAAATAGTTGCAGCCCAGTCTGTCAACCCATTTGTAATAAATCCTCAAGCCATTTAGTATTTTGTTTAATGTATCAGAGTTATTAACTCACTTTTTATATTGTAATCACTGCAGACTGACCTTTTCTTAAAAAATTAAACTGCAAAAGGTGCTGATTGTATCATCAGCTGAGCTCAAAAGCTATGAATAACTAATTATTTGAGGAAGCTTAAACACTTTAATTATTATGTAACAGTGAGAAAAGCAGCTCATGGGCTGCATGTTTTGTCAGATGTTGTTCAGGGGTGTGGTCTGCAATATAAAAGAGTGGCTGGTGGTGATCAGGCTGGTTCTCACTGTTTAACCCTGATGGCAATGTTTGTGATATTGGCTGCTGTTGCCGTGCTGCTGGAGACAGCCGCTGCCGCCTCCGTAAGTTGATCTCTGTCAGAAAGTGGTTTTGGATGGACAGGAACGTAAGGGTGGAAGAATAAAATTGGACGTTAATAACAAAAATAGACGTCTGACGGCAGAAACAAAAAAGGAGACCAAAGCAGTGAGGAGTATGCGGGAAACAGGCAGGTAACTAACACTATGACAGACTGATGAGCAGGTGAGTACCAGGAGTTTGATGTCAAGCTGAGACTGAAGAACGTGGCGAGCAGTGGGGCAAGGAGTGACTGGGCGATAACATAGGGAGACTCTGGGAAATGACAACAAAATGCAAGGAATCAACATAAATAGGACATATCCAAACGATGACACAAGGAACAAGTTGACAAAATGAACTGAATCAACAAAAACCAACACCAAATTACTGTACGAAAATTAGTATCTTCTAATTTCTATTAAATATTGTGGGGAAAACCCTGTTTTTGCTTACAGTTTAGCTACTTTTCTTAACTAAACACAATGTTTTTTGTAAATCTTGTGTCATTAATTATGCAGGACATGTTCATGTATCAGTGTCAGGAAGTAAATGTTTAGAGCTCACAATAAAATCCTACATGTGGCATGCAAAGATGATGATTTTTGTCTTTTATTTTTGTAGCTCGGCGTCGTTTACACCGAGGGAGGGATGGTGGAGGGTCAGAACATTCGCCTGGGATTCCGCCATCACATGGACATTTTTAGAGGCATTCCCTTTGCTGATGTCCCCGGGAGGTTCGAGAAGCCAAAGCGTCACCCTGGCTGGGATGGTGGGTAAACTGTCATGGACTCTCACTTCTTTAACAACTGAAAAAGTGTATTTAATTCACAATGCCATTATATAGTTTGGGGGATTTACTTAAAGGGAATGCACGCTTTTACGCCCAACCCTTAGATTCCGCTCTTACTTGGACAACAAACTTATCGGTAACTCCTGCTTGAGTTTTACTACACTAATCCCTAATGTGTTTACTGTAAACAAGAATGGACCAACAGATTGATCTCAAAATGTAGAGTTTCAGACAAATTCAGCAAAAGTTTTCTCACTGCGAGGGCGTACTTTTCTTTGGCATAGATTTTGATCTTTGCAAAAGAAAAACATTCCAAAATATGTTCTCTTTTTACGATGTGGTACAATAAGAGTTAAAATACTTTACAGTCTTCTTGGGAACGTCATTGTTTGGAAGATTTAATGTTCCACGTATAAATACAAATGTTCATAAACTAGAGGCCTTATGAACACATGATGAGACCCTTCTACAAACAACTTGACCTAGTGGTGGGATCTCGACAAATATGGAAAACCTCCTTCAGTGTAAAGACAGTCGTGGAGCTGCTGTGCTTTGTTGGATACTCAAAATTGTGAAAAAATAGGCCAATTTTCCACTGCAGCCTCACTGAATTTTAAATGTTTGCAATGTGTTCACAATGTTCATGACCATCATCGTTCCCTATGGTCAGAAGGTATAGCTCTCCACCAGACATCCAACTTAAAGACACCCCCAGAAAGCTCCATGTGATTGGTTCCTTTCTTACTGTCACGCTCATAACTCCTTCTGCTGTGAGACTGAAACTGCCCACCTCCATGCACATCCACCCTACTTTTTATGTCTTACAAATTCAGCACATCTCTGAAAGTCCCTTGTGCCCTCCTGCCAACCTCCCTACGCCCGCCGGCTTATCAATAACCATCCAGCATTTACCGTCAGGCGCATTCTGGATTTAAGACACTGGGGTCGGGGATTCCAGTATTTGGCCAACTGGGAAGGATATGGCCTAGAAGAGAGATGATTATAATAATAATGTGTTATGTATTATCATCATTATATGTTCCCATACAATGGTGAAATTGGCTCTCTGCATTTAACCCATCCACCACCAGGTGGTGCAGGCGCCCGGGGAGCTATTTGGGGATAGGTTGTGCTGCTCAGAGACACCACAAGATGTGCAATGATTGGGGATCGAACCTGGGACTTTCGGGTCCCCAGTTGGCTGCCCTGTCTCTATCCCATGTCGGCCCCCATAGATCCTAGGTCCCCAGATCATTCATATGCACTGATGATCGATTGTTTTTGATGGATGGTCCCCTTTTTGCATGTGTAAAGCCAGTTTCTGGGAATACTACATCAGACTGATTTGAAACACAAGGAGGTGCTATTTATAAGACATATCTTGGTGGCAGGCTTCAGACTGACAAAGTTTTGCGGATGAAAGACGAAACGTTTCTTGCAAAAGAAACCATCCAGATGACCTAGTTTAATATTTTTTGTGGTAACTCAGTAAATATTTTGAGATAAAATTAGTCTTAAACCTTTCCAAAACTCAGGCAAAAAGATATGCCTTTGCGATTCCTTCAAGGAAATTATGAACCCACTTTGGAGACTCTCACTTTTTTCATGGGTTTGTCTCCGATCAGGTGTTCTGAAAGCCAAGGAGTACAGGAACAGATGCCTTCAGCTCAACCTCCTTATGAATGATGTCCGAGGCAGTGAGGACTGTCTTTACCTTAATGTCTGGGTTCCACACACTGGCGGCAAAGGTAAGGACTTATTACTTGCAGGATGTCAATAAAATGACATTGTGACCACAATGTTTTCTTCATCCCCCCAGTGTCCACTAATCTGCCTGTCATGGTCTGGCTCTACGGAGGAGCCTTCCTGTTTGGAGGTTCAATGGGAGCGAACTTCTTGGATAACTATTTGTACAGTGGGCAGGAAATTGCAGACAGGGGAAATCTTATTGTGGTGACGCTGGGATACCGTGTAGGAAGCCTGGGCTTCCTGAGCACCGGAGACTCTGACATGCCTGGTAGGTATCTGCCGAGAAATTGTTAAATTATTTATTGTTAATCTAACTGTGTTGGATTTTTTTATTTTTAGGAAATTATGGTCTGTGGGACCAGCAGGCTGCCATCGCCTGGGTGCACAGGAACATTCGATCGTTTGGAGGAAACCCAGACACCATCACCATCTTTGGAGAGTCTGCAGGAGGAGCCAGTGTTAGTTTCCAGGTACGAAGCTTCCAGCTAACTCTGCCTCAACTTCCGGTACTGAGCAAAAGTATTTTCTTGAGCAATAGTACTCCAGACTTTCAAAGTGTTTTTTTGGACTTTGGCTGCTTTTTCCTTCAGTTTTAGTCCCGTTCTTGTACCTGACTTCAACAGCATTTTAAAAAAAGTCTTTCTGTGTAAACTTTCAGACCCTTACTCCTCACAACAAAGGGCTTTTCAAGAGAGCCATCTCCCAGAGTGGGGTTGCCACTTGCCCGTGGGCAGTCAACAAAAACCCCCGCAAATTTGCTGAGGAGGTACTTCTCTAGCATGTTTTCAGGCGTCATTCCCAACATGTACTTTAAATTACGAGTTACAAAAACGTTTTGGAACCTGCTCCTCAGGTTGCTCTGAAAGTCAACTGCCCCACCGATCACAACATGGCCAACTGTCTGAAGATGACCGATCCCAAGGCCCTGACCATGGCGGGAACTCTCAGTTTGTCCAGCTCTCCTGACAGTAAGCTCCACATTTAGACTCATTCAGACACTTTTTACCAAAGGAACAGATTTAACAGGCAATTATCACATTTTAGACAATTTAACACATTAGTTATTGATAAAGTTTAGGGATTTAAAAGGTTACTTAGAGACGTTGAATCCGCATTATGTTACGTACAGGGACAGGTGTGAACAAAGTTTAAACAGCTGCATTTCATTTCAGTTTTTGATACAAACATGAGTTAAATCACACTGTTAAAAGCCACTATTTGAAAATGCCCATGTATTTTTTGTTCTAGAAACTTTGCGCATTCAGTTTCACAACCACAGCAGGTTTTCTGGCAAATAATACCTTGTAAAGATGATGTAATAATCCATATTTTTCTCATCATTGAATAGGTACATTCATGATGAAAGGCTTTAAAAGGTTTATTTTGTATTTTTTTAACAAATACAGTCTTCTTCTTTTTGTCTTTTGGCTGCTCCCTTCTTCAGGGGTTGCCACAGCAAACTACTTGCACCTAGATTTGGCAATTGTTTTTACACCAAATGTCCTTCCTGACGCAACCACAAACCACTGAGCTACCACAGCTCTAAGTGTGGAGCAGGGAGCTTCCATCTAGGGTGCCCGGGGGAGCAGATGGTGGAGGTTAAGGGCCTTGCTCTAATGGGGGTGGAGGTAGCTGTTGGTGTTTCACCTTTCTCACCCACATTTTGATGTTGTCAGTCCGGGGAGTTCAGCCAACGATCTTCCATTCACAGACCCACCTTCTCTAATCTCTGCATCGCCATTCCCCCCAATACAGGCTCCTTAATTTGGCTATAAACTACATTCAATATGTAACAAACTTGGAATTTGGCCTTTTAAATATAAAAAAAAAGTTGTAGTTTTCACCATAAACTTCCACGATCCATCCAGCCATCCATTATCTTTACCAGCTTTTTACTTTTCGGGTCACTGGGGTCACTTGTGCCACTGGTGCTCATGTCCAGCAGTCACTGTGCGAGAGGTGGGGGACACCCTGGCCAGGTCTCCAGTCCATCACAGAGACACATAGAGACAACGAGACAAAAAAGCATTCACTCTCTCACTCACATCTAGGGTCGAGTTACCAATCAGTCTAACATGCATGTTTTTGGCCTGTGGGAGGAAACTGGAGCACCCGGAGAAAACCCACGCATGCACGGAGAGAACATGCTAACTCCACCCAGAAAGGCCCCTGGACCGGGGTTTGAACCGATGACCTGCTCGCTGAGAGGTGGCAGCTCTACCAACTGCCCCACCGTGCCGCCCACTTCCACGATTATTTCCACACATTCCATAAGGAATACTGGCAGCTCATTTCTGTTCCCACATTTTGTTTATTTATTTTACATGATCTGTTATACGTGGCACGGTGGTGCAGTCGGTAGCGCTGCTGCCTCTCAGCGAGGTTGCCAGTTCAAATCTCAGCCGGGGACCTTTCTGGGTGGAGTTTGCATGTTCTCTACGTGCATGCGTGGGTTTTCTCCGGGTACTCCGGTTTTCTCCCACAGACCAAAAACATGCATGTTAGACTGATTGGTAACACTAAATTGTCCCGAGGTGAGAGAGAGAGTGAATGGTTGTTTGTCTCGTTTGTCTCTATGTGTCCCTTGTGATGGACTGGAGACCCATCCTGGGTGTACCCCACCTCTCGCACAGTGACTGCTGTATATGGGCATCAGTGACCCCCGTGACCCAAAAAGGAAGAAGTGGGTAAAGAGGATGTATGGATGGATCTTTTATACTTTTTGTGTGAAACTCATAAACATATAAAATACAACACTGTGTATGGTGACTGTCCTGTTTGCCTTTGTTAGGCCCCCTGGTGTACAACTTGGTCCTGTCTCCTGTGATTGATGGTGATTTCCTGCCCGATGAGCCTCACAACTTGTTCCACAACACCGCTGACATCGACTACATGGCTGGAGTCAACGACATGGACGGACACCTCTTCACCGGATCCGATGTCCCATCGGTCAACTCTCAGCTGGTGGACACCCCTATGTGAGTTCAGCTTCTTTGTTCAGTGAGAAACACTTGCAAAATGGGTTTACTCAACCAGAATACCAAACTTCAGCTAAAACTTTGAAGCTTCTTGTATTTGAGTTGGTGATTTAAACGGCCTTAATGGGGAATATTTTTATCCTGTTTGCAGTGAAGATGTCAAGAGGCTTTTGGGCTCTCTGACTAAAGAGAAGGGCACTCTTGGTTTGGAAAACGCATACTCCACTTACACCTTAGACTGGGGGTCCAAACCCAGCAGGGAGACCATCAAGAAAACTGTTGTGGACATCGAGACAGACTACATTTTCCTGATTCCCACTCAGACTGCTCTCTACCTTCATGCTGCCAATGCCAAGTGAGATTAAGACCTTGATTAACAAATGTTGCTGTCAATTATTTATTTGGTTTGGGCATATGGGCTGCATCAAAGTTTTGTAAAATACAAATTTATACACCAACAAATTGTAAAGTATCCAATGCGATATGTTTGCACTGTTAGCATTTGTACCGGTATTGAAGATGACACTCGGCTAACATTAGACCAAGTTTTGATCTTAATATCTGCTAAGTTACCGTAGTTTCCAGCCTATGAGTCACAGTTTTTTTGCATGACCTGCGATTTATATGCCGAAGTGATGTGTTTATGGATTTTTTTCCATATTTATTAACCTATTGTTGATGAGATATGACCGTTTTCATTCAGTCTGACTGAAGATATTGAACACTACCATTTTCAGTCGCTAGATGGCAGTCGAGCTGTATGGCATGCCGTTGTATCATGTAATAGGTAAAAGTGGCTATTAATGACACAATCGGCTTGCCATAGCCTGCCACCATCGTCTGCCTCGAGCAACCATCAAATCAGCTTCATTTCGTAGTGCAGCCCCGGCAAAATGCAGCTAATTTGACCAATGAAGTGCATTTTTTAAGTAAAATTTCAACTGAGACAAACCTTTACTATAAAGCCGAGCTAACAAATAATTCGGCTTTTGAAAATGCAGCTGATTTGACCGTCAAAGTGCATTTATTAAGGAAGTGTTAGACTGAGACACACCTTTGCTATAATTTCAAGCAAACAAATAATTGTTTTTAAGGGTTAAGCTTGTTAAATTCTTGTTAAAGTCCTCCCGTGCACGCTCCCACGGCCACCATTTGGCAGCCAATCGATTTTTGGCACAACACCTGCCCACATTTCCAGGTTGTCAGCGGTGACACATAATAGATGCGACGTATACGGCGAAGCAACATATTTATGGATTTTTTATTAGACACATTTGGACTGATGCGACTTATAGGGCGGTGCGACGTTTACGGCGGAAAATACGATAACTTAATTGTAGCTATTTTTGTTGTTGCCAGAGTCCGTAATGGTGGCAGCCACCTTAAATCAGGTGGACTCCATAAACTAATAAATAAAAATTCATTCACTGGTTTTTGAGCTACTTTGCTAACAAACAACAGGAAATTAATTATTGTGCGCTTTTCATAATTTATAATATTCTACTACAGTCATACTTTAAAAAGATCAACTATTCTGTATTTTTCAGTGTAGTTTTGTAGAAGAGTATACTCCCAGATGGTTTTGCCTTATAAACTGTCACATCTTTTTTTTGTCTTTACCAAAGAACCGGACGCACCTACTCTTACCTGTTCTCTGAACCCAATCGTTTGGGAGGCATCCTCACGCCGTTCCCCAGCTGGTTAGGAGCTGACCATGCTGACGACCTGCAGTATGTGTTTGGAAAGCCTTTAAGCACACCGCTGGGTTACTGGCCACGACATCGTGACGTCTCCCGATACATGATCGCCTACTGGACCAACTTTGCCAAGACCGGGTACAGTTAAAACACAAAACTAAAAAACGTTTTGTCAAACGTAGAACTAGGATACGGCTTCATTTCAGTTTCTGTTCTCTTTGGTTGTGTTTGCAGAAATCCAAACAAAGGAGACTTGAGCGTGCCCGTTGCCTGGCCAGCGTTCTCGTCCGCCGAACACAAGTTCATTGAGATCCACTCCAATATGAACAATGGTTATGTGAGGCAGAAACTGAGGCTGCGTTACGTGAACTTCTGGACCAGCGTCTTTCCCAACCTTCCCGTTGTTGCCTCAGAACAAAAAAAACATTAGAACTGATTAATACAAATTATAGTAATAAACGCAAAAAAGTTGCTAAAGCATTTTATTTGGTCTCATTTATTTTATTCACATTTAAATTTGCAGTAAACTTGTTAAGTGCTGTGACTGCTTCTCACGCATTGTACAGGCATAATAAAATAAAAGGCTGGGCATTCTTTAAAGGAATGCATATCGCCCCCTGCTAGGTCTGTCACGATAACAAATGTTGCTGGACGATTGTCTCAGAAATTATTGCGATAAACGATAATATTGTTTGAAATTTGACAACAATTAGTAATTATTGTCAAATTTAAGAAGAAATGTTGGTTAATTTTTTTATTGTGTGTAGTACCTTTTGTTGACCACCGGATGGCAGTATAAGACTGTTTGAACCGAAGGATGGATAGTGAGGGAGCGAGCAGCGTGTCTCTTTAAGAAAAATGGGAGGGAGGCCCTTTGACGTGACATGGGCTGTCTCTCCTTCCTGTTTTTCAGTTCTCAAAATGGCAGATGCTCTGTGTAGTTTGAGATCTTTAGCATAGCATTTGTCACGCAAAGCTTTTAATAAAAAAAAAAAACAGTAAACAAGTTCTCAGCTTCTTTTTTGCAGAGAAAAGCAACTTTTTACACAAAGGTGCAGGTTTCAACCATGAATTTTGGAGCTTCGACAAGACAGAGGTTTTTTCCTGAGGTCGGCTTGTTAGCTTAGCTTCTCAGCTTAGCTGCTTTTAACGATCCAAAAACGTGATTTTGGATCGTTCAAACTGATTTTAAAGAGAAAGGGAGGGGTCAGTGAAGAGCACCGGAGTCGAGCCTTTTGTCATCCAGTGTCTTCAATAGAAGGAGAGAGACACAAAGAAACGATAATGCAGATAAATGAAAATGGGGTAGATAATTTTCATTTATCATGTGATTAATTGATTTATTGATTTATTGTTTATCGCGACAGGCCTACCCACTGCCATTCATGTTGGAGTTTTGAAGTAAAACCATTTTATGATAGTAGGGATGGAGTTATAATGATTTAGGTGAAACTTTGTAAATGACAGAGTCTCATGCAATATTGTAAGCTCTTGTAAAATGTGATAGAACTCAAACTATATGTTTGGGATGATCCTCAGCTACAACCACACCACCTACAACAAATTGACTGAGTTATAACCACTTTTGTGTTGGCTAAAGTCACTTAGCTGTGGTGGCTGTCTTGAATTACGTTATTTCAAAAGTTAATCAGTTGTAGATGTACAATCAGTGATTACTTTCTGCAAATTTCATTAAAATCGATCTACAGTTTCATAAGATACTTTATTAACAGACAGACACAATTATTAGTAATTAGGGGCGCCTGTGAATGAGTGGTTAGAGCAGTCATCCTCCAATACGAGAGTTGGGGGTTTGATTCCACCAGCAGTCACATGCTGATGTACTTCGGTAATTTAGCTACCTAACGGTCACGAATGGTGTGCCACAAGGCTCAGTTTTAGGTCCCACTCTTAATATAATTTATATAAATAATGTAGGTCAAAACATTCCTGACACATCCTTGCATCTCTATGCCGATGACACTGTTGTTTATTGCCGAGCTAACACAGTTGCCAAGGTTTTCCAGCTTCTACAGTCTGCATTTGACATTACTCAATCAGACTTATTTAATCTCAAGCTGGTGTTAAATGCTGACAAAACCAAAGGGATGTTGTTTTCCAACAGGAAGTCGGTGCCAGATACTCTTCCTCCTATCTCATCCATGCATGGAGTTCCTATTAAGTTTGAAGATTTTTACAAATACTTGGAAATTTTGATCGACACACAACTCTCTTTTAAACCACATGTCAAAAACTTGATAAAGAAACTGAAATTAAAAATGGGTTTCTTTTTTCAGAAATAGATCTTGCGTAACTCTGAATGCCAGAAAACACCTTGTAACCGCTACCACCATTGACTTTGGTGACATTATTTACATGAATGCTCCTGCCAGCTCCTTGCAGATGTTGGATGCTGTCTATCATGGCGCACTAAGATTCATCACTGGTTGTAACTACCGTACCCATCACTGTACTCTGTACTGCTTGGTCAGTTGGTCATCATTATCTACACGTAGGATCTCACACTGGTTCATTTCCATCAATCAATCCCTCCTTGGTCTGTTACCTTCTTATATCTCCTCCCACATGTCACGTCGTCAGTGCAGTTACAACGTGCACTCTCAGGACATCATTACCTGCAGCGTTCCCTCAGTGCGGACTGAACTTGGCAAAAATATATTTTTCTACTCCGCTCCTGCAACCTGGAACACCTTGCAACAGGAACTGAAGTTGTCCACCTTAATTTATTTAAGGGGTTTCAAACGTTTGATAATGTCAATGGAAAAATTAAGGCACATATTTTCTTGTTTTTAGTATTTCACCCTGTTTTACAGCACCCTGATGTATTGTTTTATACACTACTCTTATGTTAACTGCATTTTTACTATAGTTTATTGTTGTCATTGTCTACTGTTATTGTTGTATGTACTTTATATGTTCGGTCTGGAACAGGTCTCTCTTGTAAAAGAGTCCTCGTGGCTCAATGACACTAGCCTGTATATATAAAGGTTGAATGAATGAATGAAGTAATGAAGTGTCCCTGGGCAAGACACCGAACCCCTCACTGCCTCTGATGTGTGTGCCATCCGTGTATGAATGTTATCTAAAGCTCTGATTATTCTTTGTACATATGTAGAGTGCTGTATGAATGAGTAAATGAGGGCACAGATTGTGTTTTAAAGCACTTTGAGTATCTTGATCAGATAAAAAAGAGCTATATAAGTACAGTTCATAATTAATAATTACCATCTACAATTTCCTGCAGGATCAATAAAGTTATATCTTATCTTATTTACACAGACAAAAACATCCCCTTCTGCTCTCAGCAGCAGGCCGATAAATATGAGCTTTAGCTGATACTGTAAATAATTCCATTGCAGTGTTTTAGTATTTAATTCATTGTATTCAGATTTATTGGTGTCTTTAATAGGTTTGAGAAGTTGACAATAAAAAGTCAGAGCAGAAAATAACAAACATGTCTTCAGTTTAACATTATGTCAGTTCACAACATATCAGCCGATGGAGGTAAAGTGCAGCTGTGACATAATGGGAAATTATGTCTGAGCTAAGATTTTATTAAAACTTTGAACCTCCAGCCTAAATCTTGTTTAGAAACTTTCATTTCTAAATATAAAAATCTTTAAACATTTTTCTTTCTTTTGGAAACTGATGGTTTAAAAAAAAAAAAAAAAAAAGCTAATTTATGGTAATTATCTATTTAATCGTGTTAGTTATTTTACTTTATCAGATTAGTTATTTTGATAACAGCACAATCATAATTGAAATAAATCTGATTTTTTTTTAAGATAGAATATTTTAGAGCCTGCACATAATAGTTGCCAGCAGCACTGCAAATAAAACTTTGTATTTTTAAATCTCAACACAATAAAAAGCAATGATTTGATAAAATGAGAAGAATTGATCGAAACAAGCATATTTAAAAATTAAAGTGTCACGAAGTAGTGCTGAAAAATATTAACAAAATAGAAAAATCGCTGATAGTTCCTTTGAAAAAACAAAAATAAAAAAATATATAAATGACCTTTCTTGAATAAAAACAGCACATTGCTCTATTAACTTTTATTTACTAAACCGTTCAAATTACAATTATTATAAAATATATCAATTCTGTTGCATTTTAAATGTATATTTTGACCACTGAAATGTTGATGTTGTCACATTTTAATGTTATTCCTTCCCTATCAGACAACATTTAAACATTTTTTTCATCATGGGGTAATTATAACAATATAATCTACATAAAAATGTGACTGTTGATTTCCATCGTCCAGAAATAAAACAGAAATATATTTTTTTGGAGCGGATTCTGCCCTCTAGTATTTTTGGAACCAGAGTCTGCCCATGCTGTACCTTCAAAGTCCCGCCCACAAACCCTCCCAACTTGCTAGCTGGCTGTCAATCATACTGTAACCACACACTTCTTTACCAGACCACTTTTTTCTTTTTCTTTATTTAAGAAAACTTTATTTATCAAAAACAAATACAAACAAGTATGGCAGAGCAGACTTGGGTATGGGAACAGCAAAAGCAAAACTGATTCAAAGACTAAAAATGTGAAAGAAAAAATAAAATAAAAATAAAAACTATAACAAGGGGGTATATATTTTAGGATTAGGATTAGCATGCATTAACATTTAATACAGGTTTGTATGTTTCAATATATTTCAGAGATTTCAAATATACAGTAATTGGAATTCAGATAAAACAATGTTAAAATCTGGGGATTTTTTTAACACTCTTTTTTTATGAATAAAGAATTTTGCCAGACAAAATATCAGATCACAACCATACAGCTTTAATTATAGAGCACTTAAAACAGCAACAAGGCCAAACAAAGTGTTGTACAGTAGAACAAAACGAGCAAAGCACACATCAAAACATAAAATAAATATATAGCTACAAATGGAAGAAGATAACTAAATGGCTAAAATAAATGCTGTCTGTAGCAATCTGTAGAATAAGCCTTAAATTAAGAAATTAAAGCCTTAAATAAATTACATTAAATTAAGACTGTTGGAGTCAGACTCCCCACCATCACAGACATTTACACCTCCAGATGCAGGAAGAGGGCCACCTGCATCACGAAGGACCCCACTCACCCAGCACACACACTTTTGCCCTGCTCCCCTCAGGAAGGAGGTTGAGGAGCATTAAGTGTAGCACCACTAGACTGAGGAACAGCTTCTACCCTGAGGCTGTTAGACTCATGAATCTCTAACCAGAATAATCACTGTGAAAAATCACACCAAGCTGCTGCTGATCTGTTTCATGTTGCTGCTGATCTGTTTCATGTTGATGTGTTCATGCGTGCTCATCTGCTCACACAGACTCATGCTCATGTTAGTGCTGCTGTTCGATGTAATGTTTTTATGCTATTAGTGCTTAGTGTATTTTTAGCTGATGTTTTTCTTAGTTCATATCTTAGATGTTATTATTGTTTTTCTTTTACATTTTATTGTTGGATGTAACTGGGACCCTGTGTACATAATTTCGTTTCACCACATGTACCACATGTGGTGCGAACAACAATAAAGAATCTCTGACTCTAAATAACTACATAAAACTAAATATTGGTGGGAGTGCATACTTTAATATAGGGCAGCAACAAAAAACAACATTGAAACAAATCTAAAGGTGTATTTTTACTTTTTAGTCAGGCAAGTGCTCCTTTTATTTATATGGTGAGGGGAAAAAAATGTCTTGCAGTCGGTCAGCCACTAGGTGGGGCTCGTCTGTTTTAAATTCTACTTCCGGCTTCCGGTCTTGTATTCCTCGATGTCTCACGTGCGCAAAAGACAGTGGGGTGGGGAAAGAAGAGGTTTGTGGGATGTGAAGTAGCCGGCGGCAACCGAGACAGATGCTGGGAGTGACTGATCCACGAAGAGAAAACATCCGAAGGAAGAGCAGGACATAAGAGCGTGGCAGCGTTACAATAATCTCCATCTGTACGTTTCAAGGTCCAACATTCAGCTTTTTGTAGCGCGCGCAACCTGCGAAGAAAAAGTTCAGATCCCACGAATCAGCGCGTGGGAGTGGAGAGCAGGATCGTGACTGACTGAGGCAAGCTCCACTGTCTGTCTCGTCATGGCAGGTAATTCACTTTAACCACTACTCCATCATGAGCTAGTCGGGAGTTTTTAACCCCGTCCCCGGCTCCAGTAAGCTCTCGGCCCGCGCTTAAAGCAGCCGAATGTCGGTGCGGCTAACCGCAGCTAGCTAGCGACCCAAACTTAGCTGCGCTAGCTTTAGCTAAAGCTAGCCACCAAAAACAAGCGGCACCTCCCGTCTTCTTGTCTCTCTGCATCGGCTAAAATTTCCCAACCAGCTGGTGCTCGCAAATGATCCCTGGTAACTGTATCGCCGGGACTATTTTTGCAAACTAACTACGGTTTTAGCCAAGCGCACAGCTCCAGTTCAGTAAGTTCTCTTAGCTGTAGCTGATTGGCTCTCCGGCGCTCGTCTCTCTCACACGGCCCGTTTCAAACAGCCCATTGTTCAGAAAACAAACCGCAAAGCTGGTGATTCAATCTGCCGTGTCCACACCTTTCTTTTTTACTTTTCAAGCATTGCTTGAGTTAGCTGGCTTGGCAAGTCAGGCGAGCGATTAGCGCAAACTTTGACATTGCTCACATGCAGGTTAGCTCTCCAGGCCCACACTGCTGCACACATGTTTTTAGCAGTTTTCTGTTGGAGAAACACCGAAAAAATCACACGGACCCTGTTTAGTGCACACGAAGTTAAAAGGTAGTTAAATTAAATTAGCACAAGACATCATCTCGTCTTGTTTGCGTTGCGTTTCATTCATTAGCCTGATCCTGACTGAAGGTGGAGAGAAGGGTGTGCACCCTGTAGAAATTAACACAAACGCGGTTTTAACTCCAGTGTTTTAGTTACTCCTTCTTAAGACAAACGCATTGCACGTTACGTTGTAACATAATCTTATTTGTGCAACTACATATCTAGTTAAAAGCCTATTTTTGCGTTTCTTTTTCAAGGTGTATGACAGTACAAAATGTCCTGATCAGCAGTACCGCCTCAGTTCTGGGTATTTGCTTTGACTTCAGATATATATATATATATAGTGATGTTTACATGCCCTTCATTTATTTTACAAGGCTTCTATGGGTGTGAAAGTTCTTGACAATGAGATCAGTTTCTGTTGTGTAACAGCAGATGTGTGATAACTTGCAGGATTGAATCTGTTCCCTTTTGCAATGTTTATGGAGATCATGTTGAGGCGAGTGTTTATACTCAAGTATAGCAGCATTTGTTTTGTTTTTTTCCTGACGTGCAGGATGATGCAAAAGTCTCGAGCCTTCTCTTATAGTGTTTAAATTTGCTTTAAATAAATGTACCACACTTTCTGTGGGTCTTTCTCTGGACGTTAGATGCTTTTTGAAACTATTTCAGGTTAATTTTCCCCTCGGGTTTGTTTAGAGCCACTTCAAACCAATTCTCAAAGTTGGACAGTTGGATGCTTGGACACGCTGCACAAGGAGGCTGACATGTTGGTTTGGAGGAAGGTTGACAAAGAAACATCCAAATAGAAAGAATTAAATTTTTCCGTCTGTAAGACTGGGGAAAAATAGCAAGCGGCTGTAGGCCCACTTTGGTCACCACGCAGCACACGTCTGTTTGGCACATTTTAATCACCAACATTTTTGTTACTTCAAGTATATAGAGAACTACAATTCTCCATTGCCTCGAGTGATTATAAACCAGAAATATATGTAACGAATCGGTCCAAAAAAGTTAAGTCAGGTCATCTGGACAGATTCTTCTTGGTTGAAACGTTTCGCCTTTCATCCAAAAGACTTCATCAGCCTGAGGCCATGCAAGAAAACTCAGTCCTATAAATAGCAAAGTGGACAAACCAGTTTCCCGGGGGCATCCAGAACTAGCTTTTCACATGTAAAAAGGAGGACCGTCAGTCTTAACAATCAATCACCAGTAACCTAACAATAGATCGTTAGCGCCCTGATGTCCGCTTGCTATTCACAGAACTAGCCTGAGTGATTCAAAATATCCTGATGCATGCTCAAACATCCAGGTAAATAAATCCAGAAAAGCTAAGTTACAAATACATCATGCAACAGGGATGAGGCGAGGACAACACATTTCATATAATCAAATTAGATCTTTTTAATCTTTATTTTTTACTTCAACCTTTATACACGTTAGTCTATTAGATTCACAAGAACTCGTTTACAAGAGAGACCTGTTTTAGACAGGCAACACTGAGATTCCTGAAAGCCGTTAATAATAGCCGTTAAATATTTTACATATTTTATGTTTATCTGATATTATTTAAGTGCTATTACATAAATTAGACGGTGTGACTGTTCAAATTAGTGTGAATTGACTGTCTTCATTTGGTCAATTGTCATAAATTGGGCGGCTGTGGCTGAGTGGTTAGAACAGTCGTCCTCCAATGCAAGAGTTGGAGGGTTCGAATCCTCCAGCAGTCACATACTGAAGTGTCCCTGGGCAAGACACTGAAGCCCTCATTGCCTCCGATGCGTGTCCCATCGATGTATGAATGTGATAAAGCACTGATTAGTCTCTTTAGAATGATTTGTTCAATTATCTTTGTAGAGATCTAGCAAAGTGCTGTATAAGTGAGTAAATGAGGCACAGATTGTTGTGTAAAGCACTTTGTGTATCTTTTTAAGAGAAAGGCGCTGTATAAGTACAGTTCGTTTACCATTTATAAACAGCAGGATGCTGAATATATTGAATATTAACATTTAATGAAAAGCTACAACTGTAAGTTGTTAGAACATAGGACTTACCTAGACTCTTTGGTATAGATGTAGCATCTTTGTAGTTCAACTCGGGTGATACCCTTGGGTCATTTAGTCGCGTATTTGCCAGGTGTTTATATGGGATCCTTACAACATTTTTGCATATACTTGGAAGGAATATAAAAATTAAATGCCAGTAATGTACCATATTTTTCGGACTATAAGGCGCACCGGATTATCAGGCGCATTAAGCAAAACTAAAACATTTTGACCGATTTTTGAGCGCTGTGTACTAGAGCTGTCATTTCTTACCCAAACCTGGCCTGGACCGACCCGGATTAAGGCCGGTCTCGGGCTTCTAATTAGGTCAGGATCAGCTGCGATCCAATTATATGATAAATGGCCTGCCATACATCCACCAATCGCACACGGCCATTTAACCGTGAGCAGACTGACTTTGAAAGAGGTAAAAAGTTCAGTTAAGCTTCAGATGGACTGGACTGCCTGGCAGCGATCCATCGCCCATGGGCGATCATTCAGCCGTTGCACTCAGCGGATGCGCACGGCCGATGACCCAAACATGCGAGATCCCAAAGCAAACGTGTGTCAGAGCTGTCCTCGTGTCTCAGTAATGCAGAAGAATGCTGCGGAAACAGAGTTTAAATTCTTTTTACGGCCATGAAATGACAAACGCCTTCAGCTCCGAATCTTCTGCACCTTTTATTCAGCTGCGCGTCCTCAACCGTTAATAACTAATTAAAAATGTTGGGTTTTTTTCCACGTTCGGACCTGTAATTACTGTTAATTCGTCGGGTCGGGTGGGGTTCGGAAATTGGGGCTGGGGCCGGGTCAGGTCAAATTTTTTGGGCTCGAATACAACGCTGCTGTGTACCACATAAAATCAGTTCGGGGTCAGCAAGCACAAACAGAATTAATACATAAGGCGCACCAGATTATAAGGCTCACTGTTGATTTAAGTGCGCCTTATAGTAAAAAAAAATATGGTACTTCACTTGTTTATCAGTTTTCCACAACACAGCGGGATTTACCCCAAACCAAAACTTGTCGGTTTGACATCATGTGACGAATGACGTTACGCTGACTTCGAGAGTCATTCATAGATGAAGCAGCAGCTAACAAAGACGCTGTCCTTTGGTGCAGAACTGCACAAAAAATATACACAAGAACTAAACTGAAAGTAAGACGGGGTGTCTAATTTAGATTTTTGTACAGAAGTCCTGGAAGGAGTATAACAAGGATATTTATTGGAATAATTTCTGCAGATAAAGAGCACTGGATTTTAAGATTTGATAACTGGTTAATTTCTCAAACGAGCTGTAAAATAATTCCTGGACAGATTACCACCCAACAGCTCGCTTCACACACTGATGCCATTATTGTCCTACCCAGAATCCACCTCTGCATTGTTGATGCAGCGTGAAAGCATTTCACAAAATGCAGGCAACACGCACAAAAACAAAAATATTTGAATGTCCTTCCAGAAATTATGAAAGTTAGTTCTGATTTAGCTTTAAAAAAAAATAAAAATCTGATCCAGTTCAGACTGAGGTCTGCAACATGTGGCTTGAGGGCCACGTTATTCTTTGGCCCCTCTTCAGTGGCTCTTTGAGCAATAAAATCTGCTCAACAAGATGGTTTCAAGAACAATTTAGTGCTAATAGCGTTTGTCACTTGAACGTCCAGCCACACAGTGTGATATTTCTCTAAAATCCACCAGGAAATAGTGTTTTTAACACGTTGGAGGCAAGTTGCTGAGGGGATGTAAACAAAGTGCAGTTTTACTCACTAATTAAAAATACAAGCAACTAAGATAAGGCATTTAAAAAAATGTGGCAAGTTTTTCTTGATCAACTAAAGGCCTTTCATTAAAACGTTACTAAAGGTTTAACAAGTTTCTGCCTTTATTACAAGACATTCATTGAGTCACAGTTGAACATAATTTGGATTATCCATCCAGATGCAAATACGTGCTTTATTATTTTAAACTGAGACGTATTTTTCTACAAAAATAAGCAGCACTTGCTTCAACCTGCATAGTTCAGTGTTTAAATTTGATCAACACGAGTTTGCATTTTTCCTTTTGTCTTGACACTAACCTACCTAATAAATATAAACCATTATAGATTTTTTTTTAACTTGAAAATATAACAGACGATGTACATTTATGATTAAGTGTGACTTAAAGTATGTATTTTTGTTTAATTAGCAGAAATGGCTCATTTGGCTGTAAAAGCTGTGGACTCTTGGTTAAAAAAAGATGCTAAATAGAAACATTTTTTCCCGTTTAGAACTTTAAACCCAATGTTTTCAGGGCATGTCCTGTTACACAACAAGAAGCAGGTCTTATGACTTGTTTATACTGTAAACTGGATTTAATTTAGCCTTGTGGACACGATTTGTACGTGTCTCTTACTGTAACAGATATGGATTCTGCTACATGTCCATAGTTGTAATGGAGAATGTTAATGTTGGTGCTCAGATATTAAAATTTTTGTTTGCTTTAAGGCTAAGACTTGTAAAAGTTTTCAGAGGAAATGAGCACACGCGTGGCCACAAAACTATCCTTTTTTGTCAGAAGGTGTTTGTTTAAATAGTTTGCTTGAAGAAAGAAGGTTCAAACACTCATTTTGTCGTAACGCTCCTGTTTTCTTCCTGAAGGACCTGGAGGTGACATGCAGTGGTGCTTCTCTCAGGTGAAAGGAGCCATTGATGATGACGTAGCTGAAGGTAAGTCCTTGCTTTGAGCAAAGTGTTTATCAACGCAACTGTATCTGTACAAAACTTAACATCGGACTGTGGAATGGGGAGAAAGGTTAAATGTTTTCTACAAGCTGCTGGATAATGTAGACAAAACTTTAGTGGTTCTCTTAATTTAAAGGCTTATTTTTTGTTCATATTTCCTAAAATGTCATGTTTCTGCTACACTTTGCAAGTTCATGCTTGTTTAAGTCCACCGCCTTTTTTAGAATTTCCGCATCTTTACGTTACTGAAACGCTTCACAGCTGTTTCCGTTTCTCAGTAAACCCCGACTCACTGGTTCATATGTGTCAAACTCAAGGCCCGGGGGCCAAATGTGGCCCTCGTTGACATCTTATCTGGCCCCTTAAAATGTTATTTTAAATGTAAAATACTTTTATCACTTTAATTATGTTCAGTAATCTTTGATTATGATGTTAAAAGTGCAACAGAGAACATCAAATAAGACCAGTCAAACTCTTGATGAGGAACCTGCAATCAAGAGAAGATGTTGGTATCTAACTTGACTTAATGTAGATTCTGAAACCGGCCATAAGTTTGAAAAAGGTTTTAATTTTGGCCCATTTTGTAGTGAGTTTGACACCCCATCCATTGGTGATTATTGGGACTTACCACTTGGTCCTTCTGTTGATTATACAAGCTGGATTTTTTTAGCACTTAGTGGTGCTTTTAATGTTTCAAAGAAAATCCAGTTTAGTGATCAGTTTATGTGCAGACCTGCTGGACGTTCATCCACAACAGTTTCAGACGTCGGTGCAGCCGTCGTCTCATGAAATGAACTTCGGCCAACCTGCCTTCATTAGGTCAAAGATGAGATTGATCATGAACGCGTACGCTCTGCCTGCTCGTTGCTGGAAATGTAGTGTTCTGTTTGTTGCTCCTACGGGTGTAGGAGCTCCTGGAATATTGGGGAGACAATTTTAGGTGTCCAATCAAGTTGGTAATCTTAAAATAAGCTGTCTCTCTAGTGCGTTGTTGGACGAGGACTGCTCTGTATTTCCACATTCAGACGTTGGTGCTCAAATAAAAGTTTAAATTGACTGCAACCCGTGTAGCCCTCAAACATGATGGAAATGGAAGACAGTGCTGGGAGTAGGCTGGTAAATATTAACACACATGTTTTTACTTGGGGGGGGGGTTAAATGATTGTATAAAATGCTCAGAGCTTTGAGCCTCCGGGGGTAAAACGAACACAAAGACTCCTTACTACAATCTTGAGTATCGTCTTTCTGCTCCAGTTGGCAACAAAGTCTTCACACACACATGAGTGTGTTTCAATATATAAAGTCACATACTGTTGTTGGGTAAAAAGGGGGTTATTTCTGCTGCCAGCACCACTGAAAGACGGTTTATTTACAAAAAAAGAAATATTCTTGCAGTTCTGTTTAACTTGTCCATATGACGTGATTTAAACTTTTTTGTATGTTTAATAATAGCAACTGTACGCTAAATTGTTCCTCTCTTTATTTTTTATTCTCCTCCAGCCGACATTATCTCAACGGTTGAGTTTAACCACACAGGGGAGCTGCTCGCCACCGGGGATAAAGGTGGACGTGTAGTCATTTTCCAGCAGGAAATAGAGGTAAAACAATTTTTAGTACATTTGAGTCCTAATCCTGGACACTATTTAAAAAATGTCACACTCTTCTCTCAAGAATACATTGTTTAAAATATATGTAGTTTTACAAGAAAAATGTAACTGGCGTGATAAGTGTTTGGAATGAACTCGATCAAACAGGTTTTCATTTGTCTCTTCACAGAACAAGAGCCAGCCTCAGTTCCGGAGCGAGTACAACGTTTACAGCACCTTCCAGAGCCACGAGCCCGAGTTTGACTACTTGAAGAGTTTGGAAATAGAAGAGAAGATTAACAAGATTCGCTGGCTTCCTCAGAAGAATGCTGCCCAGTTCCTGCTGTCAACAAACGGTAAAGCTTTTACTGCGTATTTATTATCAGGGGTCGACGTAAGCGCTTTCCGTTTGTCTGAGTCAACCTATTTTTGTCGAGGACAACCAGATCTCGCCTCGAGGTTGTCCGGTGGACAACAAAGTGAAATGGATGTGGATTAAAATTGAGAAAGGGGGGAGGACCTCTTTAAACTCATCCTATCCAAAGATGATACAGGGATTAGACTGATGCTGCTTTTAAAGAGAACCATTGTCATAATTTTACCCAATCAGAGAAGGGCAAGGCTGATACACGGCTGGTGATCGTAATGTTGCAATACTGCAGATGAGAACAGCGGTTAGTGTTTCCTCCACTGTTTTCCAAGGAGGACACCCCGCTACCCTAACCGAATGTGATGCCATGTAGTAAATGACTAAACTTCTACGTATTAAAGTTATGTTTTCGCATGAGACCAATTCACTGCAGCTGGGAGAGATAACGGAACTGATCCACCATCACGTCGGTCCCGTACCGCGCCCCTATTACTTGAGTACTCTCCATAGCCAGCGGAGATGGAAATTATTTGTAACCAGATTAGATCGATTCATAGATAAACAGAATATTTTAAGTAATAGTCAATATGGGTTTAGAGCAAATAATTCAACATCATTTGCTCTCATGGAACTTAATAGAAGAGAGAACAAATGCTGTTGATCAAAAACAGTATTGTGTTAGCGTTTTTTTTTTTTTTATTTAAAAAAGGACTTGGACAAACTGAATAAATATGGCATTAGAGGATTAGCACTACAGTGGGTATCCAGTTATTTGAATAATCTGAGACAGTTTGTGCAGGGAAACGATGTAATATCAAAATTTTGTGTTAATGGATGTGGAGTTCCTCAGGGCTCTGTGTTGGGACCGAAGCGGTTTATTTTGTATGCGAGTGATTTGGTTGATGTGTCAGGGCTTTTGAAGTGTGTTTTATTTGCAGATGACACCACATTTTTTGTTCAGGTGAAGATAATGAACGGATGTTAGAGATGATACAGGCAGAATTCGTAAAAATACAACTTTGGGGTTCCATCTACCTGATATTTAGTACTAGAAAGAAAATTATCCAAGTCCCATTTAAAATTGACAGTATTGAAATTCATAGTTGATGAAATAAAATTTTGGGATGTCATTATTGGTGAGAAACTGACATGGAAATCTCATGTAAATTACTTAAGAATAAAAATAGCAAAATCAATTGCGTTACTGTATAAAGTAAAAGAGTTTTTGAACAACAAAGCTTTGTATATATTGTGCAATGTAATGATTGTTCAATATTTAATCTGTTGTATTTAAGTTTGGAGAAAAGCATGCAAAACAATTACAAACCCTATTTTTATTTTACAAAAAAGAGCTATAAGAATTATTAGTAGGAAGTGCTATGGTCACCCAACATCAATTGAAATTATTAAAATTTTATGATTTGGTTGAACATAGTATTTTACAAGTCATTTATAAAGCTCATAAAAAATATTACCCCCAAATATTCAATTAAAATTAGTTAAAAATAGTCATTTTAACCTTAAGGGAATGGAAATGTTTGTAAAACCTCCAGTTAGAACTAATCTGAAGGAGCTGCGTTGTAATTCAGGGAACAGGATTGTGGAATTGCCTTGATATCGCCATAAACATTTCTAAAACAATTTATATGTTTTTTTTTCATTCAACCTTTATTTAGACAGGTAAATCCCATTGAGCCTCGAGGACTCATTTACAAGAGAGACTGGTTTAAAATTATGATTAAGGTAAAGTTGGTGGGAAGGTATGGTGCCAGGTGAGGGATGCCTCATGCTCGTTGTTTTCAATTTGGAGATTGTTCAAGCGTAGGTTGTTGTTTTGTACTTATTTTATATATTTTTTTAAATAAGGGCAGATATAAGAATTTTTTTGTTCTGTCTGCACCCTTTTCATTCAGTTTTTTGTTTTTGATGATTTTTTTTTCTTTTAATTGAATGAATAAATTAATAAATAAAAGACTCGGCATGTTCTGGACGACGAGATCACTTCTTTTAAGCAAACGAGCGATCAGAGTAATATCGAATGAGGAAGCTCTCCAGGGATTCTGTTCTCGCTATTTTCTGATCCCAAAGAGAGACGGTACATCTTTCCGCCCCATATTAAATCTGCGTGTGTTAAACAAATATTTACACAAATGCACCTTCAGAATGTTAACACATGCAACACTTTGTTTCTCTATCCTCCCGGCAGATTGGTTTGTAACGATCGATCTGGCGGATGCTTATTTTCACGTTACCGTATATCCACCACACAGGAACTTTCTACAGTTTGTTTATCAGGGCACAGCCTATGAGTTTCAAACCTTCCTGTTCGGGCTTTCCTTAGCACTGCGGGTGTTCAACTGTGTGGAAGCTGCGCTGGCCCTGCTAAGAGGGCACAGCATCCAGATTCTCTTGTACATAGATGATTATCTGATATGTTCCCCAACGTGGGAACGGCCGATCAGCGGTTCCCAGACGGCGATAAAACATCTAACAGACCTGGGGTTCAGAATAAACTGAACAAAATGCTGTTTGGTATCCAAAAAATGTACATATTATTTGGTTCAAAATAGACGCTGTCTGATTGCATCTTTCTCCCAGTGCATCGCGTGGTTCCAGGTGGGGAGAGTCGTTTCATTCAGACTTTGTCTGCAGCTACTCGGGCTAATGGCCTCAGTATTTACTGTGGTGGAACTGGGGCTTCTAATGATGAGGAATTTCCAACAATGCGTCACATCACTGAAACTATGCTCCTACTGCCATTTACATCGCAGAGTGAAGGTATCTCAGACATGTATGATGGCTCTTTAAGGTGTGTCTGAGGCCCAATCCAGCTCTTGTGCCTAAGGGGATGGATTCTGTGTGCAAATATTCAGTGGAGTTGTTAGTTTTCCACCCACCTCCATACTCTGAAGAGGAGCAAAGCCTTGCCTTGTCTCTGTCCTATGTGGACACTGAAGGCGTATGTTAACAGGACAGCTGGCTTCAGAAAGTCAGACCGTTCATTTCATGGGCTACGGCTCGTTAAGGTAAACGAGTATCACACCAGAGGCTGGCACACTGGATTCTGGAGACAACTAGTCTCTGTTACAGGTGTAGAGGTACCGAGCCCCCGATTGATCTGAAAGACCATTCTATTAGGAGCATGGCCACGTCATGGGTCCTGTTTCGAGGGCTATCTGTCCAGGATGTTTGTTAGGCAGCTAGCTTGGCCACACCGCATGTGTTTGTGTGCTTTTACAGGCTGAATGTGGCTCAGCCATCCCAAGTTCATGGGATACTGGATGCTGGAACTTCAGAGGTCAGGGTTCAGGATAGCTGTTGGCCTCAGGGCTCAAGAAACTGTTCTAGAATGAGTAGGAGCTGGTCTGTTGGCCATGGTATCATGATGGGGTGGATCCCTGAGCATGGCTCAACCTGTCTGTCTCAGACAGACGTTATGTCGTTGGAGTTTCCATAGTTGGTCATGCTGGAGCGTCTCCTATAGTGAAGCACTTAACTTTGTTATCAAAGAACCAGGGTTATGTTAAGTAACCTAACTTTATCTTACCTCCGTTCTTTAGTGTTTCTCTGGCTGCTTTTTATTCTGTTGTGTAGAGTTTGGAGATGGTTGTGTTAGTGTCTTTGACGTAGAATGGTCATGTTCTGTTGTGGCTCCAAAGGGAGACTCATAATTTCAGTTTACTGACTTCTGAGTGATTGTAATGGAGTGAGCCATGCAGACGATTTTATTTTTATTTTTTTAAATAACCTTCTTTTTTTTCTTTTTGTTTTTTTGAATGTCCAGAGGACCAGACTTGACTTTTTTTTTAGATTTTTCTACCTAGATTATTGAGCGTGCATCAGGAAACCTATATATGTGTTCATGACTTATTCTATGCCAAATACATTCTTATTGTCTACAACACACCATGCTGCAAACGTTTAGAGACCTTCTGGAAACTCCCTCGCCAGTACTGTTCACCAACTAGTTACAGCCCAGTGAGATAATGTCTTCAGCAGTGGCACCCTTCAGGTGGAAACGTGCACGCGACTTGCCTTTAACTTCATACAAGATAAGGGACTTAATAAAACTGTCTTTCAACGCAGAAGGTGCTGCTTGTTTGTCATATCTCTGCTGTGTCTGGAACAAAAATGGTCCGGGAACAGAACTTTAACCTTAAATAACAGACATTTTTATTAGAGCTCAGCCGATATGGAAAATTTGGCTATTGACAATGCCGATATTGGGAAGGGAAGACTTAATGCTGAAAACAGATATACTGGCTGAAAATTTTTGCTTCATGAGGGAAACGGAGCGCCCTTTGTAGCTTGTTGGTCTGTAATGCGCGTTTAGCGCAACGTCAGTGCAAGCAGTTGTCGACTGGGGAGTGGAGAGGGTTGGTAGGCAGGGTGGGACACCCTGCTTGTATAATGGTAGGGGAAACACAGAAGTTAAAATAAACTTACCATGTTCTGTTGAGCAAAATACACACAGTATTGCTCGTTGCTTCGGCTGTGCTGAAAGTGAAACTTAAGTGAATGGTGTTTACCTCTTGCATAAAACCCAAATATGACATTTCGTGTGTTTATTGTTAAATTTTTGTAAAAAATATTATAAAATTCTGAAAATCCTGTACTGTTTGGACACTAATGCAGCTGTTTTCTTGACACTCAGATAAAACTATAAAACTGTGGAAAATCAGTGAACGAGACAAGAGACCGGAGGGCTACAACCTCAAGGAGGACGATGGAAGATACAAAGATCCCAACTCTATCACGTCACTGCAGGTCAGTCACACCAGCTCTATGAAATGGAAGTTTATTATGCTTCGATGTTGGCATTAATCTTATCAGTTAAATTATAATCCTCAAGAATTTATACATTTTTTATATATAATCTGAAAAACGACTTAAGTTTTTTTTAAATAAAATGGGTACCAGTGGCCTGTCGCGAAAAAAACCTCTTGTCTTGTCGAAGCTTCAAAATTCACGGTTGAAACCCGTGCCTTTGTGTAAAAAGTTGTTTTTCTCTGCAAAAAGAAGCTGAGAACTTGTTTACTGATTTTTTTTTATTAAAATGTTTGTGTGAAAAATGCTACGCTAAAGAGCTCAAACCACACTGAGCGTCCTCCATTTTGAGACCGGAGAGGCAGCCCATGTCACGTCAAGGAGCCTCCCTGCCGTTTTTCTTAAAAGAGACATGCTGCTCGCTCCCTCACTATCCATCATTTGGTTCAAACAGTCTTATACTGCCATCAGGTGGTCGAAAAGAGATACTACATGCAAAACAAATTAACCAACATTTCTTCTTAAATTTGAAAATATTTATTAATTATTGTCAAATTTCAAACAATATTATCGTTTATCGCAATAATTTCTGAGACAATTAATTGTCCAGCAAAATTTGTTATCGTGACAGGCATATGTACTTGTACTTTTTATTCAGTTTTAGCTAACAGAAAGCTTTAAGACATGCTTGCTCTATGTTTTTGTTTATGAAGAGAAAAGTGTTTATCATATTTCAGAGCTTTTTTTATTTTTTTTGCCACAGGTACCAGTTTTAATCCCTATGGACCTCATGGTGGAGGCCAGTCCTCGGAGGGTGTTTGCCAACGCTCACACCTACCACATCAACTCCGTCTCAGTCAACAGCGACAACGAGACCTACCTGTCTGCAGACGACCTCCGCATCAACCTCTGGCACCTGGAGATCACCGACCGCAGCTTCAGTATCCTTCAGCCCACACGGCTTTTAGTTAATCGAAGCATTCAGTAAAATAAATATTGATAAAATAATTAGATTTATCTCTGTGGGACTGTTGCTCCTCCCTAACTGTGCACTCTTTAGATATTGTTGACATTAAACCAGCCAACATGGAGGAGCTAACGGAGGTGATCACAGCAGGGGAGTTTCATCCTCACCAGTGTAACACCTTCGTCTACAGCAGCAGCAAGGGAACCATCCGTCTCTGCGACATGAGAGCTTCAGCTCTCTGCGACAAGCACTCCAAGTGTAAGATCAGTGCTCCTCGGCCTTGACGGGGAGATTAAACGGTTAATTATGAAAGTCTTTTAGAAAGTTCTTCAGCTCAATTATCGTATCTTTCTGCTCTGACTTGTCCAGTGTTCGAGGAGCCAGAAAATCCCAGTAACCGCTCCTTCTTCTCCGAGATCATATCGTCGATCTCAGACGTTAAGTTTAGTCACAGTGGACGTTACATGATGACCAGAGACTACTTGTCTGTGAAGATTTGGGACCTGAACATGGAGAACCGACCAGTGGAGACGTTTCAGGTGAGAAGGACCAAAAAAAATGTGCAGACGTTATGAACTTAATGCAAACTGATCAAGCACACACTAAATAGCTTAACGCTGGGGAGGATGCTTGGGTAACCCAAGTGTAGAAAAAGTAAGTAATAATTATTTATTAATCCCAGGGGTGAAGTTTGAGGCATCCAGATGAACTTGTATATTGGTTTTGGCAAAGGTGTTTAACGTCAGACGCCCTTCCTGACACAACCCTCACCGTTGACTCAGGTTTGGGACCGGCACAAGAGATGCACTGGCTTGTGCTCCCTAGTGGTTATTTATTATTTCAATTCGCTTTATTTACCATATTTTCCTCTGTAAACGTTTCTCTGCCCTATAAGTCGCATCAGTCCAAATCTGTGTAATAAAGTGGAAAAATCCATAAATGCGTCGCTTCGGCCTGTAAGTCACCGGGCATGCAAATTATGCAACAAACCGCGACTTATTGGGCGAAAAATACGGTATAAATACGGTATAAATACGGTATATAGCACCAAGCCACAACAGAAGTCATGTCAGTGCACTGAACGGAAACGTTCATACAAAAAAATAAGTTAACATTATTTATCTGAGGAGCAGACTCTCATCCAGAAAATGGAAATTATTATTTTTATTTTGTCACAAATGCAAAGTGTGAGCTGAATAGAATGATTTTATCTGATTCATTTGATTCAGGAAGTCAGATGACTGTTGAACTGTAAACATGGACCCACTGTGAACGTGTGTACTTGCTCGTACGTTCACAGAGCAGCCACCAGGAGACAGCCTAAAGCTGATTTGCTTTGCCCTGGTGTTTGTTTAGAGGAAGATTTCCGAGTCGTAGGTGTCAGGTGTTGGTTTGAATCCTCAGCTGCTCACGGAGCACACTCTTCAGTTGCAGCTTCGCTCTCGACTCATTATCTTCGCTCCATTATCGCAGGTTCACGAGTATCTGAGGAGCAAGCTGTGCTCGCTCTACGAGAACGACTGCATTTTTGACAAGTTCGAATGCTGCTGGAATGGCGACGACAGGTACGTGCACAAAGACGTTTTTATGACTGTAATTTGCTGCGTGTGAGGGCACGTTTGATCTGATGCTAAATGAGTTTTCCATCAAAGTGCTTCTACTAATGGTATGTATAAATGCTGTGCAAAGACAACTCCCCTGATCATTGACAGTTAACTCGTCTCCTAATACGACTCTGTATCGATGTGCGATCTGACATGTAGCCATTATTCCAAGCTGTTTGATTTTGACGTGTCGATCTGCTTCTCGTGCCTCCTCCGTCAGTGTGGTGATGACGGGCTCGTATAACAACTTCTTCCGGATGTTCGACCGCGGCCACCGGCGGGATATCACCTTGGAGGCGTCCCGCGAAAACAGCAAGCCCATGCAGGTCCTAAAGCCCCGCAAGGTGTGCACTGGCGGCAAACGCAAGAAGGACGAGATCAGCGTGGACAGTTTGGACTTCAACAAGAAAATCCTTCACACCGCCTGGCACCCCCAGGACAACATCATCGCAGTGGCGACGACTAACAACCTCTACATATTCCAGGATAAATAAACTAATGGGACCGTCCGGCAGCCTGAGGTGGTGGAGGTCCGTGGTAACGTCCCGCTCCGTTGCTCGTGGCTAATCAGACTCGTTGTAGATGTGGACAGAAGTTGTTTCTCGCCCATCGTCAGCCGGTGGCAGTGACGTCTGCCTCGTTGTTAAAGTGACGCTGTGCCAATTGTTTCTTCTTCTCCCCTGTTATGTTCATTTCTTGCCCACGTGCTCTTTACTTTCATAATGTGGGCAAAACCATTCAATTTCCTTTAAGATTCTGAGTCTTTTTTTTATAATGTCCCCCCCCCCCCACCAAATGGATCTGTGATAGAATATAAAAAGTTTAGTCTTTATTGTCATGTGCCATTGTAGTTTATTTTTCTAAGATGAGTAGTTTTTTTTAATTAAGTCATCCATTATACTGTAGGTTTTCCCTCATCCAGTGTTGATTATAACTGCGTACTCAGCGCTCACGCAGGTTTGCCCAGTTGCTTCATTATGAATTATTTTTACACATTTGCTGTTCAAAGCGACACCTCGACAGTTGCCTCCAGGATTTTAACTACAGCGCGTTTTCAGCGACGTGCCTCAGGCTCACCGTCACAAAAGATCTTTTGTTGTCGTCGTCCTCCCCCAATTGAGACATGCTTGTGCATTGGTTCCTCTTCCTCCTCTTGTTTTGGCGTGCAGAAATCGTCAGGTATGAGAAGATACACGATTGTGATTTTTCTATAAAAAAAAAAAAAAGGTTTAAAACTTCACCGGACGTGTTCCGTCCCATTTTGTAAATGGAAGCTGGACGTTTTGTTGTTTGAGTTTTCTTAATTCTGGTCTTCCCAGCTTGACCCACAGCTCTAAGCAGTGTTTCACAACAGGGATTTGACACTGGACTTTCATTGCACCTGAACAAAGTACTTGGATGTGTCCATGTTAGACTACAGTTTTAAAAACCACATGTTTATTTGAGGCGTTGAATATTTTAACTACTGCAGACAATGCTGTTTTATGGCGCGTTATGTCTACATATAAAGGTGCTGGTCATAAAATTATATGAAAAAGTTGATTTATTTCAGTAATTCCATTTAAAAAGTGAAACTTGTATATTATATTCATTCATTACACACAGACTGAAATATTTCAAATGTTCATTTCTTTTAATGTTGATTATAACTGACAACTAATGAAAACTCCAAATTCAGTAGCTCAGAAAATTAGAATATTAAGACCAATAATAAAAAATAAAAAAAAGATTTTTAGAAACGTTGGCCAACCGAAAAGTATTACCATGAAAAGTATGAGTATGTACAGCGCTCAGTACTTAGTTGTTGCTCATTTTGCCTGGATTACTGCAGCAATGTAGTATGGCATGGAGCAGGTGCCAAGTCCTGTCGCAAAATCAAATCTGCATCTCCATAAAGTTGGTCAGCAGCAGGAAGCATGAAGTGCTCTGAAACTTCCTGGTAGATGCCTGCGTTGACCTTGGACCTCAGTAAACAGTGGACCATCACCAGCAGATGACATGGCACCCCAAACCATCAATGAACATCAAACATCAGACTCTGGGACCTTGATTTCCAAAGGAAATGCAAAATTACTTTCAGAGAACATAACTTTGGGCCACTCAGCAGCATTCCAGTCCTTTTTGTCTTAAGTTCAGGCGAGACACTTCTGACAATGTCTTGTTCAAGAGTGGTTTGACACGAGGAATGCGAAAACTGAAACCCATGTCTTGCATACGTCTGTGCGTGGTGGTTCTTGAAGTATAGACTCCAGCTGCAGGCCTCTCTTGTTTCACAGTCTTCTCCATGGTGCGGTTATCTCTTTTGCTTGTACACTTTTCTACCACATTGTTTCCTTCCCTTCACCTCTCTATTAATGTGCTTGGACACAGAGCTCTGTGAACAGCCAGCCTCTTAAGCAATGACCTGTTGTGTCTTTCCCTCCTTGTGGAAGGTGTCAACGGTCGTCTTTTGGACAGCTGTCAAGTCAGTAGTCTTCCCCATGATTGTGTAGCTACAGAACTAGACTGAGACCATTTAAAGATCTTTGCAGGTGTTTGCAGTTAATTATCTGATTAGAGTGTGACATCAGGTGTCTTCAATATTGAACCTTTTCACAATATTCTAATTTTCTTAGATACTGAATTTGGAATTTTCATTAGTTGTCGGTTATAATCATCAACGTTAAAATAATTAAACATTTGAAATATATCAGTCTGTGTGTAATGAATGAATAAAATATACAAGTTTAACTTTTTGAATGGAATTATTGAAATAAAAAAAACTTTTTCATGATATTCTAATTTTATGACCAGCACCTGTATTTAAGATGTTACTGCTTCTAGTAATGTAAAACTACAATTTTACTGACAGGAAAAGGAAAAATAAAGGAACTATTTTGCATCGTTGTGATATTTATTTATTGGTGTTAAACTGTGTTAAACATTATCATTACTTGCACTTGATTTTAAAGGATTTCAGATTAAAGGCTTTGAACGATTAATGTTTTAATGTCTGCATGGTGGGTGTTTAATTACTGGAAACTGCAGCTATGACTAGTATGAACACGCATGTCCCCACTCTTGAGCTTTGAGGTCACATGACTTTGTTTATTCTGTCACTGAAGTCTGATATACAGCTGTTCTGTGTAATGTTATTTTATTTACATCGTTTAGCAAGAGCGCTGTCCTTGTATGGGAAGACGACGTATCATATAATATTTAAACAGTATTTTATATCTGGCTTTTAACAGTTAAGTTATTCCTATTCAGAAAATGACATAATTTACTTTCTTGTCTAGAAGGAGCATTGTTCATTTGAAACTGAAGTTGTCCAAGTTTAATTTTCAAGATATACAGTTGATTCCATTCATTCCATGTACGCCACCTCGCACAGTGACTCTTGCGACCTGGAAGGGAAGATGCAGGTAAAGTTAATGGAGGTATGGATATTTTTTAATTGTTACTTTCATAATCACAAAAATCCAGTCTAAATATTTAGATTTTTTTTTCAGCAACTTCAAATGCCAGTAGTTGCAGTAAATCTGTTTACAGAGTTTTCCGGTTATATTTTAATATTTTTGTCTTGTGCTACTTTTAGGTCATCTGTCATTTATTTTAGCCTTTTTCTGCCATTTTGCTGTTTTAAACTACGATTGATTTTTAGCTAACATTTTGCAGTTATTTAGTGTTCTGCTTCTTTTAGCTGTAGAAAAGTTTCAATGAAACAATTTAGAACTTTAGAAAATCCAACAATGTTCAGACTGGTCATCTGGACGTTTTCTCTTTTTCCTGACCTAACGTGAAATTTGGTATTATATTTAAAAAAAAAAACATTTTTCTATGTGGATATATGTTTATAATCTCAGTAATTGAGACCTTGAAATGTAATTTTTAATGCACAAACATTTGATTTCAATTTCAGTTTATTATATTGTACATCGGCTTGCTATACACTCGTCTAACGCTGTTGTTACGTCATAACCTAGCCCCGCCTCTAAGCCGCTGCTTCTAGGCCAGCAGCTAACCTGTGAAAACAAACGGCTTCGGCTGTGCTTCAGGTTAGCTGTTTTCTGAAGCACAGGACTCGATACCACTCGCTCGGTGGTAGTTAAAATCACGCCTGAATGTTTAGAGATATAAGTTCGCGTTTCGCTTCAACTTGATCCCTGAATGTAACCCAACCTCCTCACCAGAAACGATAATGTCCGACGCTGCTAACGCTACAGACAACAACGGAGACTCGGGACTTAACGGTAGGCTAACTCGTTACTCTATTAAAGCCCGCCATTATGCGTTTTAATTTGTATGTTTTTGAGTATGCGTGTTTTTAGAAAAAATGTGTTTATTGGAAGACTTAATCATAAGGGTTTACATATTTGCACAAAAAAAATGTTTTTCTTAGCGAAGCTTTACCGAAGGGGCGGGTCTAGAACGACATGTTCCGGGGTTTATTGACACTAGTTGGACCAATGGCCGTTTAGTAAGCTTGATTGACAGGCAAGCTATCCAATCAGTGATTCATGTAGAGTTTGGAGGTGGGCTGAAAGCTTGTCAACAAGCACAGTTGGAAGATGTCCAATTTGGAGAAGTCGGCGTAGATAATATTAGATTATTTCGCTATAATAACCTGTTACAGTCCATAAAATGTGGATTAACTTCTAAAAAGGTTTACAAAAATGTGTGTTTATTTCACTGCTGCACGGATTTGGACAGTCCTGGTGCAGGTTTTACAACAACATGGGTGAAGTGACTGATAACTATTTATGGTCACAACAAGACACAAGGTTTGCTTTTAATAAGATGTGGGGGACTCAGCAACAAAAGTTACATCAAGTTGAACTAATCCAAAGTAAAACTCTAAGCAGGAAATACACTTTACTATTTATCCTGTGAAAATGTCCTCCTTTTTGTAAATAAATTCTATCGTTTATATAATTTCTTTACTGTCATTTCTGTGACTCTTTTAAATCACTGGATTTATTTAAATAAAACTATCAGAAAATAATAATTGGATGTACATCTGCAACATGAACTTTTGAAAGTAGTTCAGTTAAACATGGCTGCCACATTAAGTGACCTTAGCCAACACAAAATTGGCTATAAAGTCATTTTTGACAGATGCTGGTAAAAGCTAAGATTGATCCCCAGCACGTGTTCTGGACACGAACACGTGTAAGATCTTGGTTTGACGTCTTAATATTTGGAGTCAACTATGTCTGTTAGCAAAATAGCGCATAAACCACTCAGAACATTTCACTTCAGGAAACAAGATGGTCGCCACAGCTAAGCGACTGTAGCCAACACAAAAATGGCTCTAATTAATTAGATTTGCAACTGTTTGGCTAAAGTTTGTCATGGTAGTAGCTGAGAGTCATCCCAACACACGCACATACAGATTTATATAATTCTGTGGTTCGGTCCAGTCTCTGCCTCGGTGTTGATGCAGGATAGAGGCGACGTCTAACAGCTGACCTCGTCACTTTGGCCAGAATGTTTGGAAGCGTTGTTGCCACGGTAACGTGGGGTGAAGACAATGGCCTGTATAATCCACACGAGTGCTGAGCTGATGTGCGTTCAGGGGGTGGGGGGCGGAGGGGGTCAACATTACTGGACTGTTCATGTGAACGTTTTTGTATTTTTACGAGGTCATTTCTGCTGAAGGGGTCTTCCTTCCTCCTCTGTTTATTTGAGTTAGGAGAGAGGGGAGGGAGTGTTTTCATGCAGCGTGATGACGGGCGGTGAAGATTAACACCCCCCGCCACCACTCCACTCCCTGACAGTTCATGCTGGAGCTCACGTACAAAGCGGGGCAGAGTTATATTTCCCAGCTGAGGTTTCCAAACGGACGAGCACGCAGCAATAAATAGACGTCGTCCTCGTCCCGCTGCGGCTCTGACCGACGTGTTGCCTCCGTCCGGCTCAGAGTCAGGAAACAACTGTTGACATCTTTGTCATCTCACTCCACTTCGGCTTGAATAGTTTGTGTGGCGCCTTCGGAAGGAGAATAAAAACAGAATCCAGCTTTAGTTTATTTTATTGATTGATTGATTTATCAAGGGCAGTGGACATTATTGAACATTAGATAAATGTGAAGGTACCCAAGTTTTTTTTTTTACCTATTGTTTTTTGACAGTTCCCCTAGAAAGAAAAATCCAAAGAATCCAAACAATAAACCATTTGGGGTTCCAGACAGTTTATCTTCCTATGTTTTCTAAAGCTATAAATCTGAGTTTAACATAAAAATCACCTTAAGGTCACGTTACGTCATCTTTTGGACGTGTAGGAGAGAAATGAAAAGAAGCTCCATCACTATTTTATACGAGAACATTTGCCATTTTTTACTGAATTGCGTTGATATTGTGACCAAGGGGAGTGGCGGTGCAGAGGTTAGAGAAGGTGGGCCTGTGATTGGAAGATCGCAGGTTCAGCTCCCGGTACTGACGACATCAAAATGTGGGTGGGATACGTGAAGCACCCTCACCTGCCCCCACTCTGGGACCTTGAGCAAGACCCTTAACCCCCACCATCTGTTCTCTGGGCCCCCTAGATGCAGCTCTGTGCTCCACACAGAGGCTGTGGCAGCTGTGGTTGTGTCAGGAGGAACATCTGGTGCAAAAATAATTGCCAAGTGCGACTTCGTTCTCTGTGGTGACCCCTAACGCAGGGAGCAGCCGAAAGAGGGAGAAAAAATTATATTGTGACTAAACAGGTCTAAACAAACACCATTAAAGTAAAAATAATCAACTTTTTATGACGTTTTATTTGATGATGTGATTTTGTGTGAGCTACCTGAACTCGAGCCTTCTAGCAAATATTCAGGAAAAAAGACATCTAAAGTCCCAAAATGTGATTTTACAACTGTTTAACATAAATTTATTGTAGATGTTTGTGCTTAGAAATTTAAAGAAAACCCAGAAAAAAAAAAAAAATTAAGTTTAAAGTTTCTGCGTTCGCTGTCGATGGCGTTAAAATGTAAAGTAAAGTGTTATATGTTGTCATCACTGTATGTTCCCATACAATGACACAATGAGTTCTGTGCATTTAACCCATCACACCTGAGGTACACGCAGGTGGAGCAGTGGGCGCCCAGGGAGCAGTTGGGGATTAGGTGTCTTGCTCAGGGACACCACGACATGTGAGCAGGGTGGGGAGTTGAGCCTGCGGCTTTCTGGTCCCAGGTTAGCTGCCCTACCTCTACACTATCTGTCTTGTCGAAGCTTCAAATTTCACGGTTAAAACCTGTGCCTTCGTCTAAAAAGTTGTTTCTCTGCAAAAAGAAGCTGAGAACTTGTTTACTGATTTAATTTTTTTTTTTTATTGAAAGCTTTAAATGCTAAAGAGCTCAAACCACACCGAGCGTCCATCATAACCAAAAACAGGAAGGAGAGACAGCCCATGTCACGTCAAGGGGCCTCCCTTCCATTTTTCTTAGAGACACGCTGCTCCCTCCCTCACTATCCATCCTTTGGTTCAAACAGTTTTATACTGCCATCCAGTGGTCAAAAAATGTACTACACACAAAATTAACCATAACTTCTTCTTAAATTTTAACAATAATTACTAATTGTTGTCAAATTTCAAACAATATAATCGTTTATCGCAATAATTTCAGAGACGATTAATCGCCCAGCAACATTTGTTATCGCGACGGGCCTAGCTACTCGTCTCCGTTAACTTCTTAACCCACAGCTGTGATGCGTAATTCACAACTAGCCCATGTAGGTACAATGTGGGCAACGAAACAACGTACACGGCCAAGAATGCAGTTTTACAAGAAACGAGGGAGGAAGAAATGAAGCGCTTTTCCAAGATCGGTGCTCGGAACAGAACCGCACGGCCCGCTGGTCGCTCTGCTCGGGGTTCGGTGAGGCTGCGACGTCAAGATCTGAACCGCCCAGCGAGGAACTATGTTTGAGCAGTCGGTCCAACACCCTGCTGACGACGTTATGATTTATTGTAATCGGGAGGTGATGTCACAGTTAAGTAGTGATGTCACAGTTAAGTAGGAACATTTAAAAATTTGAATGTATTTTCCCCACAGGGTCCTGGGTGGAGCTGGAGATGAACAGAGCTCATGAAGCCCAGCCGCCCTCGCTGCCCCTCCCTCAGGTGGAGGAAGAGGAGGCCATCGTGGGGGGGCTGGAGCACGTCCCGTCCTCATCCTCGATCCACAACGGAGACATGGAGAAGATCCTGCTGGACGCGCAGCACGAGTCGAGCCGCAGCAACTCGTCCTGCGACAGGTGGTGACTCTAAATATCATCCAGACCGTCCGGCTGCTAAACAAACGACGGTCGCAGCTCAGGACAGGAAGTCTAAAAACACAGATCAGTTTATTGTCGCTGCCACGTCACGCGCTTGTGCATCCTTCAAGGCTGCGCTGAAGCAGACCTCATCGGTGAGTCACCTCCGGGGTGTTTCGATACGATGATGTCAACAAGCTGTCCACATGGGACGTTTCCAGCTGCTTCTCAGGAGGAGTCAGAGGCTCCAACTTTACTGGACAAAAACAAACCGGTCAACTTGAGTGATTCTTGTGGGCGGGGCCGGACGATAAGTTGAGCTTCACAAGACGGTGGTTAGCGACAGCTTACCCTTTGACCTTTTTGTCCAAAAATATTTCTTGTTTATGAACCGGAGCTTATCGTCTCTGGCCTGGAGGAGCTGGAGTGTCTCTGGGGTGAGGGGGGTCAGGGTTTCCCTCCTGGACCCGTTGCTTCTGTGACCCGGCCGGGTAAAAGCGTTAGAAAGTGGATGGATGGACTGGAAGCCCGACTCAGGCAGCCGTTTTGTCGTTGGCATGGCCAGATGTTTCCACGAACCTCTGGTCAAAGTTTTCCTAACAGTAAGGGTCAAACCTGTTGGAGCTGCTGGGAAGTTTGGGTTGTTTTGTGTTTGCTGAAAACATTTCCAGAAACTTTAAAAAAAAATTTTTAGAAACCAGCAAATAAAAAGATTGTTGTGGAAAGACTGTGCTTCCGTGAGGACGTTCGTGTTTGAGATGTTTTTATTTTTTTAACGTGTTGAGTTGTGATGCGACACCTTTGCACGTTATTTAAATATTAGTCATTATTTGTGCTAATTTTCACATTTGGTTTGTCCTCTTTAAACACGCAGCCCCCCTCGGCCCCACTCCCCCCAGGACGCCGGACAGATCATGTTTGACGTGGACACGACCAGCAGGAGAGACAGTCAGGTAAGAGCCTGCGAGCTACGTCTGTGTTCTTCATCTGTCTGTTGCCGTGGCAACCTGGACGACGGCCGCTTCCTGTAGTTTCTAAGAAAATGGTGCCGCGCCGAGAGTGAAGCTGACCTTCACAGAAAAGCTGTTTGTTTTTTATTTTTAGTCTGAAGAGGACATCTTGGACAAAGACAGGGACATGGACATCCTGATGAAGGACGCAGATTGGGTTGCTGACTGGTCCAGTCGACCGGAAAACATTCCCCCCAAGTAAGTGTCAACGTGGTGAGAACGAACGCCTGTTTTTGTGCGTGTTGCGCAGCGGAGCGTCACGTTTCTGCAGAAAGAGTCGTCTGCCATCGAACTTTAACGCTGACTGACAGTTAAACGTTTAGTGACGTGTAAAAGAAGCTTCGACAGGATTTATTTTTCATTATAAACACGTCGTCGTCTGTAAACATTTAAATCCTCCATCAAATCCTAAAAAGCTCGACGTGTGTCTGCTTGGAGTTCAGTTTCTTTTAAGAGACTTTAAACTAGACCTGTCACGATAACAAATTTTGCTGGGCGATGAATCGTCTCAGAAATTATTGCGATAAACGATAATATTGTTAGAAATTTGACAATAATTAGTAGGGGTGTAACGGTACACTAAAATCACATTTCGGTTCATTTTCGGTACAAAAAAAGACAAAATAACGACTTACAAAACATTTATTTTGAAAATATGCCAAGTAAACAATACGTTTGTATAAAAATAAATAAGCGACCCATTTGGACAATATTTTAAATAAACTGCACTCTTTACAATAAATAAACTATACTAACAATAATAAAAATCTTAATAAATACAATAACAGTCGGAACCAGAACAATAAGCAGCAACAGTTTACAATCTGACTAAAGTTTTTGGCCAAAAAGACCAACTTGTCCGCTTGTCGTTTCAAGCGCGTTAACAAGTTCGACGTGTCGCTGCTGCAGGTCCAATCTCCGTGAAACGACGTCGACTCAGTTTGGATTTGTTCACTCGTCTTTTAACAAGAAAGACGTAAAGTTCCCAACAGGAGACCGCAACGAGAAGCTAACGCTGCGCGTGCTGCAATAATATAGCGCCGTGCTGAAACACTCGGGAACTTTAGTTCCGCGGCGCATAACTTCTCGTTAACAAAATTTAATGAGTGAAAAAAATAACCGAAACGGTACGCAGGTGGACCGAACCGAACGTGCCGTACCGAAACGGTTCAGTGCACCCACATGTGCCGTTACACCACTAATAATTAGTAATTATTGTCAAAGAAAGTTGGTTAATTTTTGTGTGTAGTCCCTTTTTATTTGACCACTGGATGGCAGTATATGACTGTTTGAACCGATGGATGGATAGTGAGGGAGCGAGCAGCGTGTCTCTTTAAGAAAAGTTCCTGTTTTTCGGTTCTCAAAATGGCGGACGCTCGGTGTGGTTTGAGCTCTTTAGCATTTTTCACACGAAGCTTTTAATAAAAAAAATCAGTAAACAAATTCTCAGTTTCTTTTTGCAGCGAAAAACAACGTTTTAGACGAAGGCACGAGTTTCAACTGTGAATTTTTGGAGCTTTGACAAGACGGAGGTTTTTTCCCCGAGGTTAGCCTGTTAGCTTAGCTTCTCAGCGTAGCTGCTTTTAACGATACAAAAACGTGATTTTGGATCGTTAAAACGGATTTTAAAGAGAAAGGGAGGGGTCAGTGAAGAACACCGGAGTTGAGCTTTTTATCATCGAGTGTCTTCAGTAGAAAGAGAAACACAAAGAAACAATAAAGCTGATAAATGAAAATGAGGTTGATAATTTTAATTTATCATGCGATTAATTGATTTATTGTTTAGTGCGACAGTCCTACTTTAAACTTTAAAAAAGATTATTTAAAGAGGAGTGGGTTGAGCTAATCTAAAATATCTTGTATAGATAATATATTTTTCATATTAAAGAAACGATTTGTGGGATATGTTTGCAGGGAGTTCCACTTCCGTCACCCTCGGCGCTCGGTGACGCTCAGCATGAGGAAGACGGGGGCCATGAAGAAAGGAGGCCTCTTCTCTGCAGAGTTCCTCAAAGTCTTCATCCCCTCGCTGCTGCTGTCGCACATCCTCGCTCTGGGGCTCGGGTAAGAACCAAAGAGCTGAGCTCGCCTTTCTGCTTATAAAATACATTTTGTTAGTTCTTCTTTTTATTTTTTTTTAAAGCGATGTTTAAATAAGTTCCCAGCATTGAGCTGTCATCCTGAAATAAACCAATAATTAACTGTTGAAATGTTTTCTCATTTCTCGTTTTGGCACAACAAGATTATGATTTAAAAAAAATCTATTCTACCTTAAAGAAACATTGCATATTAATGGTCTTAATTAATAAAAAATAAAACCTCTATTTACTTTCCTTGGTGAGGTATCTGCTCTGATGCAGCTGATTCCAGCTTTAAAACCCAAGCAGCTGCTGTTTGTTCAGCTTTCAGTGTCTGTCGGTTATTTCTGAATAGTTTGTAAACCGTTGTTTGTGACTGAAGACCAAGTCTGTCATTGTAAATCCACCGAAGCCTCGGAGCCTGAACTCATCTTCACTGACGCTCTTTGCTTCCTCCTACCCACCAAATTTTACTCTTTACATCAGACACCAACTTGTGTACATGAAGATATGCAAAAATAACGATTAAAAAACAGGCACAACGGTGTATTTTCATAGCATTTGGTTAAAACAAGCTCACCCATCTACAGCTTTAGAGTAAATTTAGCTTTTTTTTTCGTCTTCTGGAGGTTTCAATGTAACATGAAGAGGCACATGCTGAAAAAGTCAATTCACAAACATCATAAAAGCCGATCGGTAAAAGTTCTCTATCTAAGGAAGCAGCAGATTGTGTTGAATCTTTATTTTGTTATCGTCTCCCATCCTGAGCAAAGACGAAGCAGTGAAAAGGGAAAAACTGTCAACAGGATGAAACCTCCAGCGGAGCCAGGCTCAGGACGAGCAGCCGTCTGCTTCGACCGGGAAACAAACAAAAAATCTGTTTTTCAAACTTTCCGATCATCTTTTAGTGTTTTTGCAACATAACCTGATTTTTTTTTTCCGATCACTTGTTGCAACTGTTGGAACCTCTTGATGTTCGCCTCGCTGCCAGCAGGGGGCGCTGTCGCACAGCTGCAGACTCACATCAGCTGTTCGTTTGATCCGAGCAGCTGCTGCACACCTGCTGCCTCAGGCTGAGCTCCGACACTCCCAGGAGGGCCGTGTTGGTGATGACACGTGCACGGTAATCTGTGCTGCTCAATCAGATCACGTTGAACACGTCGACGTGTAAACGAGTCATTAACAGGCTGTAATTAATGTTCCTGCTGGACACGCAGAGACGTACAACCAGATGTTCTAATAGAACTCGCCTTTATCGTTGGGTGAGTTGTCATGTCTCGTTTTATCGTTTCCTTTTTTATATCTTATAATTACAACACAGTTAAATGTAGGGGAAATAAACATTTCTCCAAATCCTGATGCATGCTCACTAATCCAGGTAGAAAAATCTACAAGAGTTAAGTCGGGTCCTCTGGATGGATTCTTCTTGTTGAGACGTTTCGTCTTTTATCCAAAAGACTTCTTCAGTCTGAGGAGCTTATAAGCAGCACCTTCTCTTAGTGGATCAACTGGTTTGTTGGTGACATCCAGAACTAGCTGTTCACATGATGAAGGACCATCAACCTAACGACCGATCGTTAGTGCCCTGATGGACACTTGCACATTTTTGAGCCTTCTGTGAATATCGAGCGGCCGTCATGGCACTAACGATCGATCGTTAGGTTGATGGCTTCATTATGATGTGAACAGGAGTTATTTATAAGACTGAGTTTGTTGCAGCTCCTCAAACCGACAAGTCTTTTGGACGAAACGTTTCAACAAGAAGAATCAGTCCAGAGGACGTGACTCAACGTTTTTAAACATTTCTCCAGTTTCTTGAAATCTTTTGATGAAACTGTAGAAGGTGGAAGTTTCAAACAAACGTGAACAAGGAAGTTATTTTCGATTTGTTTCACTATTTTCAGACACGATTTTTCACAGACTGATGAACCTCTGCCTGTCTTTACTTCTGAGAGCTTCAGCCTCTCTTGTACCAACTACCGTATTTTTCGGCCTATAATTCAGTTTTTTATATAATTTGCATGTCCTGCGACTTCTACGCCAAATCGACGTATTTATATATTTTTTCCATATTTATAAACCAATTTTTGGCTGAGATGTGTTCATTCATTCTGACTGAAAATATTGAACACCACCATTTTCAGCCACTAGATGGCACTCTAGTTGTATGGCATGCTGTTGTGCCATGTAATAGGTAAAAGTGGCTATTAATGACACAATCGGCTTGCCTTAAATGCCACCATCATTCTACTTGGAGCAACCGTCAAATCTGCTTCATTTCTCTGCGCCGCCCCGGAGAAATGCAGCTGATTTGATCATTGAAGTGCATTTATTAAGTAAAAGTTCAACTGAAACACACCTTTACTATAATTTTGAGCAAACAAATAATTGTTTTTATATATTAATCTTGTTAAATTATTGTTAAGGTCCTCCTGTGCACACTCCCGCGGCCACCATTTGGCAGGCAATCGATTGTTTGTCACACCGGCGCACGTTTCTGTGTTGTCAGCGGTGACGCGTAATAGATGCAACGTATTTATGGATTTTTCCACTTTATTAGACATATTTGGTCTGATACGACTTATAGGCTGGTGTGACATGTACGGTGGAAAATGCAGTACCTTTGCAGCTTTTTGTCCCCCACCCCCACCCCCCCCCGTGCACTTTTTTTTTTAGATCTGTTGCTGCCATAAAATTTAAAATGACCTTTTTCCTCCTAAACTTGTAAAACTTCTTCGCTTAAACTTAAACTGTGTTTCGCTGTGAATAAAATAAGAGTTTGAGGTTTTTATTTACACGATGTCCCAACAGTTTCAGAGTTGGGGAGGGGTGTGTGTGTGGGGGGGTTGTACTTTCTTCTTACATGGACGCAGCGTTCTTTCCTTCCCTCTCAGAGTCTACATCGGGAAGAGGCTGACCACGCCGCCCGCCAGCTCCTTCTGAAGCAGAAGTAAAGTGCCTGAGGAGTCGATGTTGGAAGTTTTGCTGAACGCTTGTTTCTCATCCGACTGTCCCGCCTGCTCCCCCCCCCCGCCCCAACCCTGAGATTTGACATGTTCTCAGTAGACCCCTTCTTTGTCCTCCCCTTAATCACCTGTGTTCTGTTTGTAGAGGCCCCTTCTTCAGTGATTTGAGCTCTTTTTGAATGAACACGGTCACGTTTTCCCAGTATGTGGGTTTATAATGGGGGGGGGGGGGGGTCTGATAACAGGGCAGGACCGTTTTAAAGCTGACCACAGATTGTGCCACCTGCACGAGTAGCCCCAGCACTTAAACCCTGACCAAATTCAAAGTCGGCTACGCAGACTGAAAACACGATCATGCCTTTTACTGAAAGTGGCCATTTTGTTTAGGTCATTTAGTTGTTTATTTATTTAACATAGGTGTTTTTTTGTTTTTTTTTAACTACAACAGGAGCAGCCAACACAAACCGCAAGCTAATTCTACAGCCGACCTTTTGTTTCTTATAGTTTTTAAGATGGCAGCAGGAAACGGTGCATGTGTTCAAGCAGGGCTTCAGTCTGGACACGTCCAGGATCCTGCAGCCTGTCCCAAGTCCTCTAGTCTTTAAAATGATGGTTCAGGTCTTTTGAAGTGGGGTTCTGTGGAAACAGTATGAATAAGTAATATCTTATCTGTCGTAGATAACTTTTTAAAACAACCTCAGAACTGCAGTTCAAGCAAATACTGATTTTTATGAATTTTTTTGCTGCCAAAAAAAACTTTTCAGTGTAAAAGTTGAAATAAAACGGAGTGGTAAACATAAAAAGTATCTCTTGAGCTAATTTCTTTGTTTAAAAAACAAAATAATTGAAGAAAAGTTCCTCAGTGAATGAATAAACAGCACTATTGTAAAAACACAGTAAACGTCAGTACATTTACAAATCCTAGTGGCTCAAAAATGGACAAAAAAGTAAACGTTTATGTCTTAAAGTATGGCAACAGTGGTTAAACGTTTATAAAATAATTTGTGCATGAACTGATATGAACGCTTGAATTGTTTTTAGTTGGCAAAAATTGATTTTGGTCCGTCAGCTCGTCAGTCCGGTCAAACTTTAACTATTTCTCCAAACTGAGGTCTCTGCTATCTACAACAGGTAAGATATTGACTGCTTGCAACCTCTCCATAAAACCACACTTCAAAATATCTGAAATGCCCTTTTAGCTCTTGTAGTGAGTGTCTGCCTCTTGACCAATCCAATGTTGCTCAGCTCAGTATTACGTGAAAGTAATTTTTTAGGGTACCTTGAACGATTTTTATCTTAAAAAAAAAAAAAGTATTTAGTAAAGAAACAAAAGTAGTTTACTTTTCTATAAATAGATTCTTAGAAGGTCTGACGTTCAGAGTTACTATTTTTAAAGAAGAGACCTCCAGTGAAACCAGTGCTGCGCTCCCAACGCCTCACTAAGTTAGTTAAATCTGCTCGAGGTACTCGAAGAAGCTGCAGAAGAAGAGAGTCCAGCGTTGAAGCAACGAGAAGCACAAAACGATGCGATGTGACGCAGCCGAGGAGTTCATAGATGCTCGGCTGCAGCGTCGGTTTTTAAAACTATAATAAGTTTTGGCTTCAGCGATTCTGAAGCTGGATCTTGGTCCGTTTGTGAGAACAGGAACTGGATCGTAATAATGGCACTCTAGAAGCTTATTTGTCTTTTTTTTTTTCTGCATGAAATCAAAGAATCGACGCAGCACAAACTGGTTCTGTTAGGAAATAAAAGATTTGTGAGGATCTTGTGAGCAGTGAGATGGAAACTTTTGCACAGCCTGGGTTTGTCTGCAGCAGCCATTCAGGAGTAAAAGTCAACATTTTCAGTTTTTTTATTTATTTTACTGTTTACCTTCCTGCTCAGCATCATGCTGACAGGTTTATGGGCATGAAATGGTGAAATGAGTGTGATTAAAGGCAAAGTAGCTGCTTTTTACGTTGAACTTTTCTGTGTTTTACACTAAATACGTCTCATCAGAAAACACGTGTCAAATTTCACAAAAGAGAGGATGAAAAACCTGCTTTTAAAGATTAGCAGTGCAATTTTTTATTTTTTGTTTGTTTGTTTAAAACGTCTGACACTTTTATTTTGTTGTGACCCTGAGTTTCTGCTTGTTTTTGAAGCCAAAATGTTGGATTCCTTTTATTTGTATTTGTTTTTCGCTGGTGTTGGACGGAGGTTGTGAGCACACACGGGGGGAATCAAGTTTGACGCAAATTATGTTTTAAAATCGTGCGTAAAAAGTTTCAGGGCCTGAAGAACGAGACCGATTGTGGAAAAGTAGCTCTTGTAACGATAAATTAGCTTATTTTTCTTTTCCTGCTTCACTGAAAACACTGAAAGAGTTTTGTCAATAAAAACAACCAGACTGAAACTATTTTTTTCTACTTTGTCTTTTTAATTTTGACAAATAACATTAACAATGGTTTTAAATTATTGACTTGTTTTATAAATATAGTAACGTTTTTGTTCTTGTTATTTATATTGTAGGAATAAAATACTTTAAATAAAAGGAGAGTAAATTTAACCGTATACAGTTTATATTACCTTAAAGGATATAAATGCATCTGCTCTGTAAATGTATTCTTCATTAATTGGTGTTTTTCAAATTAAAAACATAAATTGGGCAGTTTGAAAGGTTTATAAAGTAGCTCTCCCGTTAACGGCTATGAAAGGAACCCACTTTGTTCTCGGCCCTGCTCGGACTCATCAGTCTCGTCACAATTCAGCTCAGTTTCTCCAAACCGAAGCTGTTGGAAGGCCGATCTGCCACAGGTAAGATGTTTACATCTTATTTGTCAAAGCCTCACTTCTGCATGTCAAACTATCCCTTTGAGTCTGGCGTTAGATGGGAAGCACGGAGGCAGATAATCTGGTTTAATCTGCTCCGTCTAGTTTTAGCAGGATTAGTGTTTGTGCAAAAGCTTTAACGTTTAAAAAAACGTCCTTTTGCGTTCATTCCGCCTCGTCTAGTTTCTGCTGTGTAATTCTAGGATCGATGTTTATGTGACAGATTTAGAGGTAAATAATTAACGTGTCTCCATCTTGTTGGCAGCGGCCCCTTCCTCAACGACACCACGTTCCCTTTAATGGAACCTCGGAACACCTGTTCCCAGCCAATCCAGGCGCTCGGAGACTCGATGGCTCCTCCCACTGCAGCCCATGGTGGCGTTGCTACGGGTTACCGGGTGGTGGCCGGCTCCATCTCCATCCCTCTGCCTCAGCATCCAGGCAGAATAAAGGATGGGGATTCTTAACGTCAGGTGAAGACAAGAAAAAGCTTTTTTGCGATAAAGAGCGTGTTGCAGGAAAAAAAAAGCACTTTATCCACACTCTTGAGTGTTTTTTATTTATTTATGGGAAATGTTTTTTATTTGTTAAGCTATAAACTGCACATTTCATCATAAATATGCCTAATTTAAGAGATGAACACGTGTTTGTTTACATAAATTGCTTGTTTACGCATGCTGCTGCTCTCAGCTTGTTGCAGGTTTAGGGTTACAAAGCCACCAGAGATGATGTCATTTATTGGGTTTTTGCAACAAGTTGATTTTCATTACCTGTCGGTCAAAACCGTTTCATGCAGTTGATGAAACGACGAGGGCGATGCACCTTTCGGGGAATCCAGTTTCGCTCGACACTTCTTAGAACACACTGCACGCCAAGTGGAGCTCATTCAAACAGATGCATGAAGTTTGCAGATGAAGCACAAAAGTATGGGAAGTATGGGTGCCGAGGGTGCTGCAGCACACCCGGGTGTGCAGCAAAGGTCTTGCATGTCCAACTACAACGTTAATTTTTTTTTTATAAAAACAGCTTTTATTGGTGTTTTAAATTGCAATGTTAATTTCATGTGAAGCCTCTGTGCATGTTCATCTGTGTGCGATAAAGTTTTACAGTTTGTTTAACCAGACGTTGGAACTTTACACATAGATAACACATTTAAGAATGATCCAACCTCACTAAATGAATTATTTTACAAAAACACTTAAAAGCCGAGAGAATAAACGATTTGTGAACGTTGAGTTTTTCAGTAATGTTTAGCTTTTTATCCCCCCTCCCCCTAGAAATGTTTTATTTATTGTAACGTATGTATCCGAGTGTATTTTGCTCTTCATGATTTTATTAAAGATGCTCCAAACTAAAGGTTTACGAGGCTCACTGGAGTCACTTCTTGTTTCATTGTTTAATAATGGATCATCTGTGACTCAGGAAGTGCACGTTGGGCTGTCCAGAGGAAGTGTAATCCAAATATTTTCCTTTTTGTGTTAAACGTACACGCTCTGTGAAAGATTTGCTCCTCGGTGATTTCACTTCCTGCCTTCAGACTGACTGGAGATGATAATCTAATAGGAGTCCCTCGTGGATTCGCAGCAGCCAATAAGAGGATCTCTGCATGTTTTGCTGATCTCACTGCTTGTCCTACATCTGTTCTGGATGCCAGGGCCGTGCCCTTCCTCTCCACTGACCCCCCCACAACTGTTCCTCGCTGCCAACGTCTCTCCTCTGATGATCCAAAACTCTTTCTAGTTTCTGCTCTCGGGTGTTTGACTTGAAATGTTCCATCAGAGAGGACGGGGTCAGAGTTCAGCTTGGACCCTCACCTCTCCTCACTTACCAGAGCCCTCCCTGTTGCCTCCCTGCAGAGACGTCCACCCGCCCCCACACAGGCATTCAGGGAGCGTTAATGGCAGCGGAGCCGTTTGCTGCCCACCGTGTTGTTATGGAAACTGTACCGACACGAACTCGCTGCTGAAACGCTTTTCATGGCCTCTCTTTACCGGAGAGCTTTTGTCTCGGTTGGACTTGGTTCTGACTGGCTGTTCTTACTGAGCCCCGTGCAGCAGATACTGAATTAAACACACCCGAACACACGTTCATGATCAGATTGGTTATAATGCAAGGCATAAAAATGCTCTTAAACTCGAGGGATGAACCAGTGTAGGGTTGATCCGTAATGGGCATTTTAAAGAACCTGTCGTGAGTTAGATCTCAGTTTCTACCAGGGGCGATTCTAGAATCTGATCTTTAGGGGCGCTTAGCCCCCAGTGCTAACAATGACTCTTGGCTTGAATAATGTGGCCATTGGCATCAGATGCATTCATAATGTAGGGGGGTCACACAGGTGGGGTGGTCAGGGGGTCCTCCCCCAGACATTTTTGAATAAAGTAGATGCCATTTCCTGCGTTCTGGTGTATTTTAATGGTTGTTAAACACCCCTGTTTACCTACACAAGTAAACACTTGATTTAATAACTATTTAGAAAGAATGGCACAACAAGAAGTAACGCTAAGCTAGCGGCGTGCAATGCAAACACACTAGCTAAGATGCTACAGACGTAGCGCTCTGCTTTACATTACACAATCTAATAAACACTTTGTTCAAAATCAATCATAATCAACTGAACATAAAGAATAAACTTAAGCAACCACAAGTTACAACATATCACAATAAACAGAACTCAGAACTGCCCCCCCCCCCCCAAAAAAAAAATCCATCCATCCATCCATCCACTAAATCTTGATCGATCGAGATTTATATATATATATATATATATATATAATTTTTTTCTTGGAGTGCCGAGTTAAAATTTAGGGGTGCTTGAGCACCCCCAAAAAGAGGCTAAAATCGCCACTGGTTTCTACTGATGAGTTCTTACAAAATACCAAACTAAAGTTTGTAGCTAGCAAGTTATAGCTAGTTAGCTATATAGTACTGCTAGTTAGTAATTTTAATACAAGTAGCTTACAGAAACACAAGTTGTACTCAACGAGAACTAGCTAAAGTTACCAGCTAATGAGTTGGTGGCTACGCAGTTACTTTTGCTAGGTAGTAATTTTGATACAAGTGGTGCGTCTCAGAGGGCAGCACGGTGGTGCAGTTGTTAGAGCTGCTGGCTCTCAGCGAACAGGTCTTCAGTTCAAATCCTGGCCAGGGATCTTTCTGGGTGGTGTTTGCATGTTCTCTCCGTGCATGTGTGGGTTTCCTCCGGGTACTCCGGTTTCCTCCCACAGGCCAAAAACATGAATGTTAGACTGATTGGAAACTCTAAATTGTCCCTAAATAAGAGTGAGAGAGTTGGTCTCTTGTTTGTCTCTATTTGTCCCTATGATGGACTGGAAACCTGTCCAGCTGTCCCCTGCCTCTTGCACAGTGATGGCTGGATATGGGCACCAGTGACCCCAATGACCCGAAAAGGAAAAAGCGGGTAAAAGATGATGGTCTATCTCAGAAGCAGAGTTTGTTTCAATTTCTTTAGTTTCTTTATAAAAATAAAAAAAACTTGCTA